TTCCCGATGCCCAAGCCAACATCGATCTCACCATCAACGGTACCGAATTCAAAGTGACTGACGGTGTTGGGTACCACGATAAGAACTGGGGCGACGCGTCTGTCATCACCAGTCCCAAATACTGGGACTGGGGACACGCAAGCCTAGGCCCTTACTCGCTGGTCTGGTACGACCTCCTCGACTACAATAATACCGAGCATGTCTACGCGTATATCTCCAAGAATGGTCAATTCATGGACAATAATTGTGCCGAGAAGGCTGTCGAAGTGCGCCAGTGGGGTGCGAATGCCACATACCCGCCCACTAGTGGTATTGCCGCCAACGAGGGTTTGACTGCTCGGTTTAACCTAGGTGGTGGTCAGGTCTTTGTCGCGAACCTGACCAAAGAGGTAATCATTCATGATCAGATTGTTTATGCTCGAGCGTTGGGCTCTGTCACTGGCGGGATTGTGGGACAGGAGCAATATCAGGGTCGGGGGGCCTACGAGGAGTATGTCTATGGGTTGTTGTACGGCAAGCCTTGAGGAAAGTGTATGATATTTTCTAGTATTACTTTCTCAGATTCTGTTCCACGTGCTTGGTATTGAGATAGGACATGCTCTCTCTTCAGCGAGGATAGAGGATGAGAATAAGAAAGGATTAGGTGATCTCAGTGTGCTCGGAGGATGGCATTAACCAATAGCAAATACCGGTGTCAACGTGTGTTAGATAAGTTGATTCATTTTTCGCGAATTATACTACTCAGGACTGAGTAATGATATGAACGGCCCAACCTCGAATGTCTCTGAGACACCTTGCCATGTACTAGTTCCTTTATTTCGATCTCTCGGTTGAGGAGGTTAGAGCTCTATAACCATTGGTAGGCCTTTTATGTAAGAGAACGACAGTTGAAGTGGGAATGAAATGGTGCTCTTTTTAACTTATTGATGTAGTTTTGAGGCTAACAAAGGCCGGTACGCAATGAAGTTTACATCCCCACGCTTTCTCAGTACCTAACAGTCAACGAGAGATATAACTTTGTTTCTACGAGACAGGACGAGAACGAATACGAAAACGCTGATATCGCGCCATAGTTTCTTCTCACAACTCCCGATTCAAGGGCCACTATTAGTAGGCCCACTTCATGCCGGGCCCACAATACGAGTACGTTGAATATGCAATTGGCTGCTATGGAACCCCACTGAGGCTTAAAAATGATCCATCTTGTAAAAGATTCGAGGGGTTAATTGAAGGAAAATGTTGAGAATTTTTTATACGGAGGTCGAGAGAAGGTATTTGGTATAGGGAGGTCATACTCACTATATCAACTGCTAAAACGAGTGTCCGGGGCATAAGGCATAGTCACACAGGTGCGAGTTTATATGTCCAACTCCGAAATAAATGTATATACATACATCTCTCTGAGATCAAATAGAGCACTACTAACAACGCTATATAGCATAAAAAAAAAAAAAAAAAAAAAACCGCTGTAACGACACGAATACTAGTGTACATACAAAACTACTGTAAACCGATATCTCACACCCCCATTTCCAATTCACTGTAAGCTTTCTCCCCAAGCACATTGGCTGGATAAAGAAAATGGAAAACAGTCTGCACCACGAACATCGGAAGAGTATCAAACACATACATAAACACCTCATGGCTGGCAAGATACCCGTCATTTCCTTGACAGAACTCAATGATGCGAAACAAACACCGAAGAATAATCAACAAGGACACTCCAAATAGGACATATAACAACGGCCCATATGGCATTGAAAGCACCCGGACGCGTTTCAGCTTCTGGATCCGTTGGTGGAAAACAACAGAGAGAGAAAAAAATCCACCAAAAAACAATAATTGCACAAAGAGTCCCACGATGGTCACCTTCTGGCCGAGACTAGACATGGAAGAGATGGCCATCATCCCACCGCCGGTAGCTTGCATCAGGAATGCAATTACATCCCCGATCACGAAAGTCTTGGTGACCTTGTGCGGGGAGATTATGGACAGTCCAGGAGTGCGAGCGAAGAGGACGATGCGGCCGTATATCATGTAGATCGTTGCTGCGTAGAGGGAAGGGGGGAGGAGGATGCAGACGCTTTGCCCGATGTAGGGACCCATGGCGGTTTTGTCTTTTGCTGAGGCGGCGCGGAACACGTAGCCCACGGTCATCACTGGAAATATGCCTGTCAATACAATATGGTTTCATGGAAGGAGAGAGGGGCCGTCTTACTGATTGCCCCCACGACGAAGGTTATGAAAAACCAACTACGTAGCTTCCATAGCTGGAAGATGTGGAAGCCGGTGCTCGCGCCGTAGCAAATGAGGGCAACGACTGCTGCAGCCACACTAGGGCTGTAGTGATAGAACGAGTACTCACTCATCGTGAATGATTATGAATATGAGGCCACGATGGAACTCTTAGCAGGGCAATAGGGGGGAAAGTGTCTTGATGAGTGAGGAAGTCATAGAAAGACTGCATTATATAGGGCTCTGCAGGCATTATCTACGCCGTCTCGGCCTTAAGATCCACTTACGGAAGTACTATTTCGTTCTACTCCGTAGTTTGAAAGTAGATTGAGAACAAACTACTAGCTTATCTTCTGCATCTTTTGTTCATTCTCCACCCTAGAAACTTTGAACCCTAATCAACCAATAATATTGCATCCGTACTCGTACCCTTCATGGGAAGTGGGCCTAAAGCGCCCTTTTTAACCCCGTCGTTTTAAAAAAGATGTAACGAGTAATGCTAGATAAAGCGCCGTTTTCGCACAAATTCAAAAACAACTAAAGACGATAGTGGCCCAAAGCCATGTTCTTGAGGTAAGAACAGGCTCAGCTTGAGGGCGATAGTCACCCGCTATTTCTGTCTGATATGAGCCACCGACGAGAGAGTCGTAGAATAGAATACGCATCCTAGTTATGAAATACCATACACTGTGCTAACTATCATGCAGAGGAAGCTTGACGACAGGTCATGCCTAGCTCTTCCATCGGCCACTTAAGCCAACCCCGAAGTGACGGACCCAGATAACCGTATATCTCCCGCAGCAAACCTTCGGGCCACCGACTAATCCAATATTTGGGCCCTCCAGTCCTCAGAAGAATACATGAGTAGCCAAGGATGACCAACGCATAAGGGTCTTTCCGCGCTAATAAACTTCCATACTCATCTCCGAACGAGCATACCCATCCAAAGAATCCCGAATGAGGCATTTTTGACCACTTCATCAATTCATTTGCCGCACTGCGGTAGACAACAGTCTGTTCTGGCGCCAGTGGCATTGATTCAATATAACCCACAAAGTCATTCACACATGACTCGAGCTCCAGTGGCCCGTTTTCCGAGGGCTCGCCGTCAAACATTGTCCCTAAAACGCCAGCTTTGATGTGCGCCCAGGTCGACAGCATGATTGTGCGAACTCCTTGAATATGCATAATCCAGGGAGCAAGAACACCCGCCCCTCTGTATAAGAGACTGTCGTGGTTATACGACGTGCCAAGTTCGAAGACAAACGCGAGTGCCGAGACAGCATAAAGGGCATGACAGTTTGATGGGGAGATATTTGAGAGAGCCAATGAGGAGCCCTTCAAGGCTGCCTCGTACTGTCGATAACTGTATGCTATGTAACGCACCTCTGGCGAGCCTTTGCGGCACATATGCAGGGCAGACACAGCCATGATCATGGGCAGGAGGAATCGGTGTTCAAAAGCTATCCCAGGCACCTCAACTTGCCATATATATTGAAATCCAGGTCTATCAGAAAGGGTTAGGTATGTAGCTGTCGAGTAATGATGCATGAGCCTAGATTTCAGCACATCATCGTCGCTTAATGATGCTTGGGGCTGAAGAGAAGAACCGGGCTCAGCCTGGGAGATTGAGGGTAAAGTCCTGGTATCCCCTATGTTGGACGGGGAAGGGGAAGGGCTAGCAGTAGCAGACGTCAAAGAGCTGTAACCTTTCATTCCTTGTGATTCAGCATATTCGCACTCTATACGGTGTTGGAGACAGTTTCCGCATGATGGTTTTTGTTCGTCGCACTACGTCGCCCATTAGTTTGTAGTCTTGTCAATAATTTGTGCATTTATCTACAGATGCTAGTAGGTGGCCCAACTAAGCACTTTGACAAGCAGGCCCATATATAACTGTATTATCTCAAACTGGAGAGACCTCACCTTTATCCTACGTCTTTTGCAATTTGGACACCCTGTTCTTGTTTTCCGATGTGATCTCCTCGCCAGAGGCATTGTTGAGAACCCTGATCGCAGGACCCGGTATATAGAGAGCGCTCTAAAGCACAAGGACACAGCGAAATAAATCAAACAGCCGTGATGGAGTTTTGAAGGTACCACCTCCTCTAGCTCTCTCTACTAGAGAGGAGCTAAGCGAAGTGGATACTGAGATGAAGTGCCAGCTGAGCGGAAGATCACCCACGGCTAGCCAATAAATGCCGTCGCCACTGTTTTTTTATTTTAGATTTTTGACTTTTCCTGCCGGCAGATAATTTAATTTGCTTGGATGATTTTGTCACTACTTCTACTTAAACTACTTCAACTATCTCATTTATTTACGCCCCTTAGATTACTGCGTAAAATTGCTTAGTCTTCTTCCTCTATTTAGTGTTCCCCAGATGGGTAATTCACGTAGATTAATTTACTTTGCCTACTAGGGCTGCTTGGAGATATTTAATCCAAGTTCTGTTCTCAGGGACTGCTGATCAGAGGAAGGCGGGCAGGTAAGGATTCCAATGCGAAGTGGCAGCGTTTGCTTGTCCTGGATGACATGTAGATAATGACCACGTCGTGTGAGCTACCAAATACACTATTGCTTTCGGTACAATATATAAGTATTGTTGAAACGCACCACTTGTCCCGACTCATTTGACTCATTCTGTAACAACACCATGTCAATCACCGAAAGACCGCGAGTGCCAATTCTAGATTCCCCTTCTCTCTGGCTACTAGATATGAGGCCTTCCCTTCCCCCATAAAACGCTCAATCAGGTGGTATCCCACTAACTAGGAATTTCGGATACGCCATCAAATGCCGAGTACTCTGGAGGCCTCTCATTAGAGTGCGATCCTGCAAATGTTGAAGGGTTGTCTGGGCATAGTTCAACAAGCTTCACATCATGTACATGGTCGTTATAATGGGGCAGTCCGTTCTCTCCCTCGCCCCAAGCCGCAATGTCTGATAACACCTGAGGACTAGCGCTGGTCGAGGGATAGAATAATAGGATGACTGGAAGAGAAAGACGAACCTACCAACGATAAATAGGGTGCACAGAAATGAGTGAATAGAAACGGGGGTAACTAACCGAGGACAGATGACCATCGGGATTCGCCAGAGTGATTAAAAATTGTATCGAGTGTCGAACTTGCAGGACCGTTGTCGCAATACTTTGTAGACACTGTCGGGTAGACTTGGGTAAGTGAAGCATCCGGGAGCATTGATACCAGCATCTGTCGTCGGTACTTATATCCATCTCTTCCCAGGTTGGAGGGTCAAATACATCAGTCAACACCTCTCGCGATCGAGACGCGAAGGATGGTTTCGATACGGTATGCGTTTCAATGATATCTGATTGAATAGATTTCACGTTGAGGCCCTTCAGCAGAGGAACGAAACGATAGGTGACTCGGATCTTGCCGCCGTATGGGACAGCCGGGGTTGGAATGCTGACTTTGTACATTATCTTGTCCAGCCAATCGTTCTCAACGCTCTACCCCGTATTAGCTTCTGAAGATCTTATTCCCTCTCGCGTGATGAGATACTGACACTAAGAGCTGTACGCAAGGGCATGCTGTAAACCTTTCGAACGGTGACCTCCCGCGACGTGGCTGCACTCTCACCTTTCCGGCCATAGATCTGTGCTCTCAAAAAATACCGAATATAACAGTCATCCATTCCCGTCATAGATTCCGGTAATCGTCCTGGGAGACACATCTGGAAAGGAAATTCATAGTTGCCCGGCTCCAAGATCGTTGCGGATGACCCTGCTGAAGCCCGCAGAAAGCTCCAGACATCGTGATGAAAGGGCAACTCCTTCCAAAATGCTTTGCAATGTCCGTGTGCATCACTGGGGAACGTCGCGTCCCAGCTGCGGGAATATATTAGGTTAGTCATGGCTTACTTCTAATGGAATTTGGTGAACATGTCACATACTTTATATAATAGCGGCCCTCTAGATGTAACTTGACATCGCTCACGCGCGTAGGTTCATTAAGGCACAGAATAACTTTTCCCTGGGCATGGCCATACTTAATCGTATGCCCTGCTGCTGGGATCCGAATGGTGCTTTGATCCAACCTGCAAGGGTTAGCAATTGTTCATCCTTACGTACAGTTAATGGCTAGCGGCGCACCTAATATCAAAGTAGATCGGTTCTATCTTTCGCGGAGAAAAGGATTTAAATGATTTAACCATCATACCCGTCCTATCTCACTGCATATGCGACTGGCTATGCATAGTCTTCCGAATGTCTATCAGAGCTTTCAACCGACTTATATGAGCCCCTTCTCGCGGGGGAATTGAGAAACCCATCTTGGCTTAGGTAGACTTTTACAGATATTTTCGAGAGGTTGACATGCTGAAATGTCACTCTTGCTTGAATAAATCTACGGAATACAGCAGGGATGCTGAAGTCCATGCGAAAGAATAGGAACGTGGCATTCCATTCCACGCGAGAAATTCTCGAACGTGGCACTTCCATAAAGGGGTAAAATCTTATCAGAGTCACATGAACAGAGATTTAGAAAGAGGCAAATTGCAAGAATACTAACTAGTAGGAGGTGAGGTGGACCAAACCCATAAATACTCAAATAGGAGGATATACGCAGTATCATAAATAGCATGAAGATATAAGAAAAAGGGGTAAAAGTCAAAAAACTATTGACCCAAAAACTGGCATTATTGCTCATTTACCCTCTGAGATTCATTCACGAGTTCATAATACGTAATTAATGCATAAGTATCGTGCATAAATATCGGCATAAGCGCAACCCCGGATCTCGATCTGCACTCAGGAATCATGGTCTAGAAGTGGAACTATTGAGACTAGAGAAAGGATCTGCACTTTTCCCTGGGCTTTATTGGAAGGCCAACCTTATATTACTTAATGATGAAATTCCCCCTCCGAGGGGGAAGGATATTTTCCTGCATTCCCAATCCCTTACTGTCCTGGGTATCTCTTTCCTTCGTCAGTCACAAATCGTAGATCCTCTATGATCACCCAGCGGAGGCTGAGAAATATCACTCTCAGCAATGTCGCAACGGCCTCCACAGGCCACTGTTGATTCCAATGCAAATGATGCAACCCCTAAGAAGAGTTTCCGACTCCCCGCGATCCTCGATCACTTCAATGCGCGCGAGCTCAAGGTCTTCTTCCGGTGCTGGGTTGCCCTCTGGGTGGCGAGTCTCTTGATCTTCATCACCCCTTCCTTGACCAGTATTGGTACCGCTACGTTTTTCGCGAGGTAAAGCTTGCCCCATGACCGATTGTTGTACCCTCCTTTTGAGCGCATATGTCTCTCGATCGCAATGCTAAGAGCGTGACTGAATAGTCTCGTCCTCTTGTTCAACCCGCCGTCCGGAATAGTTTTCATTTACCTCTTGGGGGCCTTGACTCTGTTCATTGGAATATGCCTAGCCTGGGCATGGGGCGTCATCACGATGAAGGCCGCTTACGCGGCCAGGCCAGCAGCAGACACACAGGCCCGACTTGCATCGTTGCAACAGACGGCGGTAGCCCAAGCCAACGCGACAGGATCTCCGACTGCCAGTGTGGCACAGCAGCTAATCTACGATGGCTACATGTTGGACACGCGTGTCACAGCGATTACATTCTGTCTCATCTGCACATTTATCTACTTCATGGTAAGCAATTATCGTCTATCGTACAAACTGACCAGCGAGAAAGCGAAATAACTATTGATAGGCTCGACTGCGCGCTAGTAATCCCAAAGCCACCTTGACCTCGATCTTTGGAATTATCATTTCGGACCTTTTTCTCAACTTCACCCCCCTTCTACCCTCGTTCTCGGGAACGCTACCTCTGACGCTCGTGAAACCGGCCGCCATCGGTGTGGGACTTGGATTTGCATGCTCGGTGCTCTTCTTTCCGCGATCGACCTCTCATGTGGTTCTGGATAGTATGGAGGATATCGTGGAGCTGCTCAAGCAACCACTGACGTTCACCTCCGTGACGCTAGGGAAAAAAGCGCAGCAGCCGGATGTCGACCGACTACACAAGACACACGCTCGGATTATCCAGGAATATCGAAAGATGGAACCCGGTTTGGCCTTTCTGCCATTGGACTTCTCAGTGGGCCGCTGGGGTCCCGAGGAGGTCGCTTCCTTCAAGGAGCCGATGCGGCAGGTCGTGGCGGCCATTCTTCTTTTGCTTGAATTCCACATCGGTCGAATCTATGGCGAAGTTCGCACAGAAGACATCCTTCGTGAGCACGCCGAACAGACAAAGGAGGCCCTTATCACGGACGAGAAGCAGCCCCGCAAGGTTGGAGCCCAACAACTCTCTCAACTCGCGGAGGTGCTAGAAGGTTTGCGCAGCCCGGACAGCCAGGAGCTGCCCCAGGAAGTCGTGGATGAACTAGTCAGCATGAGCGCAATGGCGATCGACGCGTGTCTGGAGGGATTAGCGGTGACGAAGGAGTGCATCCATATGGTCAATTGCCGACGATGGGTGAGGCGAGCGTCCCCAACAGAACGCGAGGATCTGTACCAGCGAAGTCAGACAGCACTTGAGAATCTCCGCAAGGCTCACAGCGGCTTTCTTCGCGACATGACCGAACTCTTGATTGGTCATTTTGCACCTACGACAAACGGTGAGCCCCGTGACCAGCGCAAGTTAGGAGCACTCGTGGTTGGGATGGTCTTTGAGGAACACGTCTGTATTACAATCACTCGTACAGAGGCTCTACTTGCCCGTGTGTCGACTGCTTTCCACGACTCGAAAGGAACCCAGCTGTGGTGGCCAACGAGTCTTCGATACGCCGCCTCCTGGGCGTTTCGGAAGAAAGCGAAGGCACCAACAACGACAACGGTCGTGGAGGACGATCCGGACGAGGCAGAGGACCTGACTAAAGCTGCGCAGGAAAAGCTTCGGATCAGTCGTGGATACCGACCGAAGCACCGCAGCCCCTTAGGACGAGCCATTTTAGGAACCTATCATTGGGTTACTTCGAACGAAGGCCTCTTCGCATTACGCATGGTTGTTGTTACGATCGCCCTCGGCATCCCCGGTGTCATCCCTCACACCGCTGGGTTCTATTACCGGGAAAAAGGTCTTTGGGGGTTGATCATGGCGCAAACCGGCTTGCTTGTCTACATGTCTGAGTTTACCTTTTCGACTCTCAGCCGACTGGTCGGGACAATTGCTGGCGGTGTTCTAGGACTTCTGGCATGGTATATTGGCTCGGCCAATGGTCCTGGCAACCCCTATGGATTATCGGCCGTTCTGGCTGTGATGCTTGCCATCTTGATCTGGATTCGACTGTACCTGCCTCCGAGCTTGCTACAAGGAGGAATTATGGGCGGTGCCACTTTTATGCTCGTAGTGGCATATAGCTACGACGATACGTGAGTCCACCATCGACGGCACAGAGTGCCACTACCTTTGCTAATGTTTTCAATCAGACACATTCCACAGTACGGCAACCCTGGAGTTGGCTATACGGTCTTTTGGCGACGGCTACTCCTCGTGCTCATCGGAGTTGGTGCCGCGACGATTGTCCAGTTGTTTCCCCGTCCACCATCAGCCGCCCGGCATATCTGCAAGACCTTGTCTCACACTGTACGAACGTTGTCCGACCACTACGCATTGCTCTTATCGTGTTGGGGCCGCTCCCGCCACGATGGGCGCGTACTCGCCGAGCCGATCTCCCTTCAGTTGACCGAAGGATTAGTGATGCTAGACGGGCCTATCGATATGCTGCGGTTCGACTTCTCTAGTTCCCGGTTCGACAGCGAAAGCCTGGGCCGCGTGAAGCGTCTCTGCCATATCATGAACCGTAGTCTGGGGCAGCTTCTACTGTTATCCGGCACCCTCCCGAGCGAGTTTCAACATCGACTCGCGCAACAAACCGCCCTGCTGGATCACCAGTGCATTGGTGAGATCATGGCTGTTTTGGGGATGTGCGAACAAGCGCTGAAGACTGGCGATGCATTGCCTGAGATTCTCCCCACGCCACTGGTCAGACGCGCCTTTGACTACTGGCAGTCTCACCCGGCTGAGATTGACTTCTCCCCTGACACAGTGAGGGATGAAAATTATCGCCGCTTCTGCGTGGCCTTGAGCGCGTATCTGAAATTCCTGGGCACGATCGATGAATTAGTGCTGGTGATTAAGGGAGTTTTGGGTGAGGCGCATTTGGTTTCCCATGAATTAGGAAACTTGGTTTAATCTGGTACATATTGAGGTGTTGGCGATTTGTTTTTAGGGAAAAGATAGAATAACAAGCATAATAGACTATACAAGCTCTCGCGTGGGAGTATAATTAATTCCAATGGCAGTGTTATTAAGCCTTCCATTCAATCGATGCTATAACATTAGAAGTTTTGAACATTTTGCAGTCCGTGATTACTGACACCTAAGTATGCCTAGATACTTGCTTTTTTTCTTTTTCTTTTCCCTTTTTCCCCTCCCTTCTCATCATGCATTCGGGGTCAAATGAGGAAACGACTGGGCTGTCCGAGTATCGACTGATGTGTTACGGTTAAGACTCACTCATCTGTAATGGCAACTGAGACCGTGCCCATGGTACCGGACCTCTTCCAATCTCCGATATCAACTTTATATCTCGGGTCATGATTGAGCATCGAGAATCTATTCTGTCTTCCCGACTGCATCGGGGCGCTCCATGCCAGTGTGCAGATCCGGGTGTCCTTCACATCATCGATGAGATCGAATGTTCCCTGGGTTCCCGACATAGAGTCGGTTTCACCACAGGAACAGACTTCTCTGATCCCGCCGTTGTGACGGATGATCATATCATCCACATCGTCGGCTGTCATGATATCACTTTGATCCCCCTGCCGATAGAATTGCCCACTGTGCCAGCGTCAGCCACATGAGAAAGATAGCACAGACGTCCTGGGTCCATACCTGTCAAGGTGGGCATTTTCGATGCGCAGATCAAACTTCATGCCATCTTCGATCTTAATATCGACGTACTGGCCGAAGGCGTCCGCAGGCATGTCGACTCAATGGGATATACAATACTCGTAGATAGAATAAGATAGTCGATATTATGTTTGTTGATCACCGATACAAAGCTCTCCTGCTTCAAGACAGGCGTGCTGGGTGGGGGGGGGAAATAGCATAAGTTATTTAAGTAAGGTGGTGATGCAGTTATGACCGCGACATTGAAAGCTTCACTGCAAGAACCATGGAACGGCCTGCGGTATCCCCACCCCCGCATACCTGTCACGGTGGACTTCTCGTATACTCAGTACCAATGAACATGAGGGTGGTGGCGACGCATTATGTTGTGCAGTCAGGTGATACCGAAGGAGCCCCAGAGGTTTTGGGTTGTCAGGAATAATATCTTCTTTAGAAATGTAGCCTCGTTGTTTTTCAACATCCGAGGTTGCCAAGAACCCTCATCGTATAGAGAGCTCAATCGGTGGCCTAGAAAGGCTAGTTTTGCCAGAAGGAGTCAGACAACTGTATCCCTCGCTTTATTTGTTCGCCATGCCTGGTGCATGACTCATATGTCGACGTACAATGTCTCCGATATTTAATCTGTATTATCATCCTGGAAAAAAGCTGAACTGAGCTCTCAGCATTCCTGTGCTATAATAATGAAGTGAAAGAACCCCTTCATATCTAAATTGACACCCTCTGTTTGATCTACGATCCCGCTCGGTAGACCCTCAACCCTATCCTAAGTTGGCCCCCGTAGACGACGACTGCAGCCAAGACATAACTCCCAAAAGTATGGTGGATCAGGGCAACATCCGAACGCGACTCCGCAACCTTCCGGTTCTAGAAGGTCCATTCGCCAAGGTGAACTTTGCCAACTTTCCCGACACCCCTCAGGATGCTTTCAGAATGTGGTTGGATGAGGCGATGATGGCCGGCGTTAAAGAGCCCCATGCCATGACGCTGGCCACGGTTGACGAACAAGGTTACCCAGACGCTCGGGTCCTCATCCTGAAGAATGTCGATGATCGTGGCTGGCACTTCGCCGTCAAGGCAGATAGCCCGAAAGCTCAGCAGCTGGAGACCAATGGACATGCCGCTCTAACATTCTATTGGCCCCAGGTCGGTCGGCAAATCCGGTTGCGCGGAACAGCCGTGCCGCTGCCAGAGGCTGAGTGCAGGGAGGACTTCGCCGAGCGTCCGTTCAAATCGAGGGTGAGCGCCATGGCCTCGAAGCAGAGCCAGGTGCTTCAGAACCGCGAGGAGCTTACCCGTCGCATTGCAGAGGTAGAAGGTATCGCATTGTCGGGGCAAGAGGACGGCTTCCAGAAGTGGAGACTTTATGCCGTTACGCCAATGGTGGTTGAGTTTTGGCAAGGGTCAAACGATCGCCTTCATTATAGGCTACGATATGTGCCGGAGAGAGAAGAACAGGGTCATTGGCAAAGGGACCAATTGTGGCCATGACATTCTCTCTACGTCGCCGAAACGTCACAAATCCGAAAACGGCGTGATAGCATTATAGCCAAGTATTTGAAAATGTCAAGCCGTCGAATAGCGATGAGAAAGCTGTCCGTGATTGAAAAATCACAATTGTGTAGAGTTCTTTCAGATCTGCTCAGTTCGAACTCGCCCCCGTCCAGCCGGTTAATGCATGACTAGTATAACCTGAGGATCCAAAGGGAGTACTAGTAGTAGAGATCCGTGATCCTCTGCGACGAGCCCTGTAGAGTTTGCGTTCTCATCAACGTGCCAGGCCAGCTGTTAGAGGAATGATCCACCCGACAAGGCACGCTTTCAAATAAGCAGTTCCCCAGAAGGGGAATGTCTGAGGTGGCCCAGGAGAGGAGCCGGATAGTGTGACGTCACGACCTGAAACTGAGGGTTTCCGATTGCAAGCCCTGAAGTCATGAACCACAGTGCGACCCTGACAGACCATTCTGTGCTTTCACAAAGATCCGGACATTTTGAGGGCAAAATCGGTGTTCAAATGTAACCACAGGAATAGTTATTCGCCGCCATCACATCTGCTCGTGTGGCGTACCGATCGATACCTACTACCAACAACCTTGAAAGCCAAACACAGACCCAGGCCAATCATACTCAGGGGAGTTAAACGCCGAAAGAAGTCCTACAGATTCAACTCCGATCGAAATCCTACCTGGATTCCTTCCTACGCTAAAGTGCAACGCGTTCCTCGAACATCCCCGATTGGGAGTGGCTTACAATTCAGGTCCTCGATTCATGGCGGCTCCGTCCTCCGGCAATCTATCAGCACAGCAGCTGGCAGACATCTCGCCGATCGGCACTGCTGTCCTCAATTCACGAGATGAGATCCTATTTTTGAACCGCCGTTTCCGGGACCTAATGACCTGCCAATCGAGCAGGGCGTTCGACAGCTGGTCCCAATCTATTGCCCGGGGCGACTACGACCGGGTGGCGACGGCATACGACGACGCGTTGAAGGCCAACACAGCGCTGCGCGTCGAATACCGGACATGCGACGAGCCATGCCAATGGCGCCTCCTCATGCTAACGCCGTTCGGCGAGGAAGAACTGCGCGGACTTTCCCTCGGCACAGACGGGGGCTCCTACTGCACGATCACGGATATCACCGAAGAGAAGCGGGCGGAGATCTCACAGAAGAAGATCGCTGAAGAGGCACAACGGCGGAAGGAACAACAAGAACGCTTCATCGATATGATTAGCCACGAAGTCCGGAATCCGCTTTCCGCCATTTTACATTGCACCGAAGACATTTTAGAAGCCGTGCAGGAGAAGGATCGACGGGACATCCGGGTCGAGGACATTGCGCAAGCGGCGGAAACCATCAGTCTTTGCGTTGCACATCAGAAGAAGATTGTCGACGATGTGCTGACGTTTTCAAAGTTAGACGCAGAAATGTTTACTTTAATACCACGGCGCGTCCAGCCACGACAACATCTAGCCATGTCGTTAATGATGTTTCGGCCGGAGCTGCGGAAACATGACATCGACTTCGAATACAAGCTGGACCACTCCTACGTCGACTGTGGAGTCGACTGGGTTATCGCCGATCTCGACCGCATGAGTCAAGTCCTCGTGAACCTACTCTGCAATGCGATCAAATTCACGGCCAAGGCGGGCGACGAGAAGAAGATCTCCGTATTCATGGGCGCCTCCAAGGTGCGCCCAACATCCTACCCACCCAACGTGGTCTTCTTCAAATCAGATGAGTCGGCTCTGCGGCTCAATGCGACGAACCGGCCCGAGTGGGGGGAGGGTGGCGTGGCCTATATGATGGTCGCAGTAAAGGACACGGGTATTGGAATCAGCGAGGAAGCGCAGAAACGGCTCTTTGAACGATTTAATCAAGCCACCCCGAGAACGGAGTCGATCTACGGCGGCTCAGGGCTCGGTCTCAACGTCAGTCGAAGGCTCTGCCATTTACACGGGGGCGAAATTGGCGTAAACTCGAAGGAGGGTCACGGAAGTACATTCGGCTTCTTTTTCACCGTTCGTCGAAGCGTCGAGAGCTCCCCGACCAAGCCGCCTCGACAAGAACAGGGGGCGATCGCTCAGTTATGCCGGGACGTCCAAGCGCTCAGCAGCGAGGTGACGGAAGGGACGACCGAGATTGCCAATCCGGCCATTCCCACCAGTCCTGAGATGACCCATGTGAAGGAAGTCTCTCCCAGCGCGTCCAAGGACTGGACCTGGCAGCATACCGCCCAAATCGCCTACGACGCAGGCGACACGGAGGTGAGGCGTCACAGTCCTACTATCACTGCCCCGTCCGCCGACCAATCACAATATCCCGGAAAACAACCAACTCAAGTACCACGGTCTCAGCCAGGCACAACCAAAGAACGACGGGTGCTGGTGGTAGAAGATAATGTGATCAACCAGCGTATTGTGGCGCGCAAGCTCGAGTCCTTGGGGTTTCGGGTGACCGCGGTCAGTAACGGGCGCGAGGCTCTGGATATGGTCCAGCAAAGTACATTCGACTGCATCTTAATGGATCAGGCAATGCCGGTGATGGACGGAAACTCGGCGACGCGAGCCGTTCGCGATCTCGAGAAACATGGGATGGCGCATGTCCCGGTTCTGGGCGTCACTGCAAATGTCCGGGCGGAGCAGCAAGCGGAGATGAAGGCGGCCGGCATGGACGACGTTATTCATAAGCCATACAAGATGCGAGACCTTTGCGACAAAATTCAACAGTTGATGAGTTGAGTTGGTCGGTTTTGTTTAGTTCACTTCAGTTTCAGTTTCACATCCTTGGGCGGTGTCTTTTTTCTGCCGATACCCGAAAAGAACTTAGAGGATTTCCCCATAACGGGTCTAGCGCGATGGAGTCTTGGTGACCTTTTAGACATTCAATGTTGGACATTTTCCTAAGAGAAGAGGAAAGGAAAAATAAAGAAAAGCAATATGTAAAGAAAAGGACAGACAAGGAGGTTATATCATGGGCCCTACTGTGGCACTTGAGAAGGTGTATACTAGCACTACTATGATACCCGTCAACTCATAATACACATCCGATGGTCTCGCCGATTATATATCCTGGGACTCATTCATATATAACTAGAGGATATAAGTCTCTAAACTAATGATTCAACGTTACAAACATATACACATGGAACCATCTTTCGCTAGAAATGCAATAATAAAACTCCAACGTATCTAAGTCTATAATTTCTGTCTTTTGTTGCGCGTGACACCGATTTCTCTTGGCTGAAAGCGACTGTTGTCTCAATCTCGGTATGGTTGTTAATGTGAGTTATCGCACGAAGGTCCAGGACATGCAACTAGTCACCAAAACTAAAAGTTGGCCCATTGGCACTGTTTGTGAGTTGAAGGGAGTCTCCCTGGCAAAAGATACGACCGTCCATAGAAAAGAAGTAGTGGAAGTGGGCCCAAAACACTCCGGCACTTAATGCTTGCTAGTTCGCGATAAGCCGAATCTCATGCTGAGAGCTCCAATTAATTTCCTTGGATTAATGGCCTATCTCTTCTGGTCCTAGCCAGGCCCCCACTACTGCAACCACGCTCAACGCTATCACAGTTGATATTGTGTGCCTGCTGCATGGCTTACGCTGGCCCGACGCTCTCCGACGGGAATTATGAACGTCGTGGACACCACTAGAACCTGAATGATACGATGGCTGGTCCTTGTATACAGTGGTACCGGAAAGCTAGGTCTCCTTTTTAATTTCCTTTCCCCCGGCGCATGCCATTGCACGTAGCTACTATGAATCTCTCGTTGCACTGGGAGTGTAACCGTATCCCTTCTCCTTAATCAGTCCCACCGTGAATAGAGGGCTCGGCATAATGCATTTCCTCTCACGCATCAGTGTTGTGACGCTCCTAGCATCGTGGCCCTCGCTCAGCCGCGCGATCCATCCGCCCAGACCGGTTCCTCCGCCGGTCACTCGACCGGCCTCGACGCTCTCCTCGGCGGTTGAAGGCGAGGCAACCTTCGAGCAACTCGTAGATCATCATGACTCCTCAAAAGGGACCTTCTCGCAACGTTACTGGTGGAGTACAGAGTACTGGGGTGGCCCCGGCTCACCGGTGCGTTTCTCGCCTTGCAAGCGATACCTTGCGTGGTATCACCATGGTCACTAACCTGGCGTCGTAGGTAGTATTATTCACTCCCGGTGAAGCCTCTGCCGATGGATACGAGGGCTATCTCACCAATAACACATTGACTGGTCTGTACGCACAGGAAATTCAAGGTGCTGTGATTCTGATTGAGCGTGAGCCGACCGTTTCCCTGGGAAAGAGTAGAACATTGGTCTAAATATGAACTAGACCGTTACTGGGGTGGCTCGTCGCCCTTTGAGGAACTCACAGCGGAGACGTTGCAGTATCTTACCCTGGAGCAGTCCATTCAGGACTTAACCTATTTCGCCGAAACAGTTCCGTTGGAATTTGACACTTCCAATAGTAGCAATGCCCCGAAAGCGGTAAGATAGAATTTTCATCCAGATGATACGATCGAAAAAAGCCATAGCTCTGACATCTCTATTACCAGCCATGGGTGCTGGTCGGTGGGTCATACAGTGGTGCTTTGGCAGCCTGGACCGCAGCCGTCGCTCCAGAGACGTTCTGGGCTTATCATGCCACAAGCGCTCCTGTCCAAGCTATTAACGATTTTGTGAGTGCCACACGCTCGCTATGGATATTGGTGTGACGGCTTACAGATGTTGTAGTGGCAATATTTCGATCCCATCCGTCATGGCATGGCACCAAACTGTAGCAGAGATGTCTCGCTGGTGGCCAATCACATTGATAGTGTTGGGAAGAATGGATCCATTGCGGAACAATCTGCTCTAAAAGAGCTTTTCGGCTTGGGAGCTCTCGAACACTATGATGATTTTGCCGCGTAAGTACAACTAGTTCGCAAAGCTGAAGTTAGATCTTCTAACTTCTACAGTGCCCTTCCAATAGGGCCCTACCTGTGGCAGGATAACACATTTGTGACTGGATATTCCGGTTTCTTTGCCTTTTGCGATGCTGTTGAGGTATAGTTCTGCCACATCACCGGCTCTGTCTGATTTATGAGGCTGACTCGCTTGGTCTAGAACGTCGAAGCTGGCGCGGCTGTTGTTCCGGGGCCAGAAGGTGTTGGTTTGCAGAAGGCTCTGACCGGCTATGCGAACTGGTTCAATTCGACTATCCTTCCAGGTTGTAAGTATCCTACATTAGAACCACATTATTCAATCTGACAATTTCTCCAGATTGTGCCAACTACGGATATTGGGCGGATAACCGGACTGTCGCCTGCTTCGACACCCATAATTCATCCAGTGCCATTTTTACGGATACCTCTCTCAATAATGCCGTCGACCGACAATGGCAATGGTTTCTCTGCAATGAACCCTTCTTCTGGTGGCAGGAGTAAGTTTCCCTGAATAATATACCGAGCATATACTTACATTTGAATCTTAAGCGGTGCCCCGGAGGGTGTCCCATCAATTGTACCTCGCACTGTCAATGCAGCGTACTGGCAGCGTCAGTGCTCACTATACTTCCCCGAGGTGAATGGCTACACCTACGGCAGTGCGAAGGGAAAGACTGCTGCGACTGTCAATACTTGGACAGGCGGATGGTCCGAAACCAAGAACACCAGTCACTTGCTCTGGGTGAATGGGTAAGAATAACCTGAGCTTACAATCCATGAAGGACAGAGAACGTGCCATACTAATTTGCTTCTAGACAATACGATCCTTGGCGCGATTCGGGCGTCTCATCGACCCATCGCCCTGGTGGCCCTCTGGCGAGCACCGCTGATGAGCCAGTGCAGGTCATTCCTGGTGGATTTCACTGCTCGGACTTGTATCTCAAGGATTACCATGCAAATGCAGGGGTGAAGCAAGTGGTCGACAATGCGGTAGCTCAGATCAAGTCATGGGTGGCTGAGTACTACAAGTAGAGAGGTGGTACATATACAAGTGAGATGCCGTTTGTCAGTTTGGATGCGCTCTGTATATACGTACTAGGATGTTTTATAATTATTAGCATACAACGTGAAAGAGAACAAGTTCGGGTTTTCAGTCCTACTAGGCTGATTGACTTCAAGGTACCCCTCCTGGCATATTTATCTCTTAGCTACTACTGATATTAGCTGATGGTGCGTGTAGTGGATGGATGATTGGGGTAGGTTATATTTCAAGGGCATTTTCAGTACGAATTATTCATATCCTCGACGATGGAATCGAAAAGGCAACCATCTAAGAACTAATTATATGACATACATGACAGGAGACCTATGCCGGCTGTATTACAGGCCTACGCAGCAAAGTTGAATGACAGGGAAGAATACCAATAGATAAACTATAAGATTGCCAGGATCAAAAACACAACATTCGAGTTAAACCAAACATCAGACCACAGTTCAAGATACATCATGCGTGCTCCGAGGTTGCCCAGCTTACTTCATTCCGTTCTTCAAGTTGTCATACTGCGAGGCTGGGTAGTCCAATTGGTTCTCAATCTTCTCAAAGGTCCCGGTGCCTCCGAGTGCATTTGCTGCCTGATCATCCAGTCAGACGAAGTGAAAATATATCGCACATACCAAGGAACAGGAAACTTACCGTACTAATCAGACTGTCACTGCCGCCTTTGTCGGAGCTGGTTTCCCACCACATAGAGCCACCCAGGCCCAATTTCTTGATGTATCCAGCTTTCAGCTGAACGATCTTAGGGGTGTCATAACTGATCAACCTTTTCTGCTTGCTGTCGTAGCTATAACTGGCAAGGATGTTCTCCATCTCATGCACCTCAGATCCCGGCTTTGGTAAGGCTTTGTAGTCCCACACCCCGTTCTCCCAGCTACCCTCGCCATCTGCCGTGAATGGCTTACCCAGACCATCTGTATTGGCGAATGACCGGCCGTACAGAGGCATGCCGAGGACAATCTTGCTCGCTGCTACACCTCCTTGCAGATACATATCAATCGCCGCTTGGGTGCTGAACGGAGTGCTATTCGGATTCGAGTCGTCAGGGTATGCGTTGGCTTGGTGCCCAGTGAAATTAGCAAAGCTCCCGGCATAGTCATAAGCCATAAGGTTCCAGAAATCCAGCTGAGCATCCATATCCTTAATATGTAATTTCTTGATTTTGTCGGGGCCTGGCCGAGATAGTCGTGTCAGATCGAACCCTGAGGTGTGAAGAGTGGACCCAGGTGATGATTAGCTTACCTGCCGACGTGGCGATTGTGAGAATAAAATGCTTGCCATTGGCATGCTTTTGGCTGTAGTCATCCAGTGTCTAGCTCTGTATTAGTTTGAAACTCGATGAGGCACAGCTGGAAAGGGGGCGTACAGTTCTGATCTGCTTTAGAAGAAGAACGTAGTCACTGGCTTGTTGATCGTTGTCCGGATACTAAAGCAATTGCACAGAGTCAGTGATCGTTCGCAATATTGAAGAACTAGCGGACAAACGGACCTCCCAATCAACATCAATCCCGTCGAAACCCAAGTCGGACAGCAACTTGACGGACGAGTCGGCAAGCATCTTTCGTCCAGCCTCTGTGCTCGCTGCTTGTGCGAAGTTCTTGGAGTAAGTCCACCCGCCAATAGAGAGCATGACCTTCAGGTTGCGGTTTTTCTTCTTCAAGAGATACATTTGTTTGATGCAACCATAGACATTATTGCCGGGCTCAGACCACGAGTCACCAGGATAGTGTTTCTCGATGTCAGCGTAGCCATCAGTCATGTAGACTTCTCCGGTCTCAGGGCGCACATTGGCGAAGGCGTAATTGATATGAGTGAGCTGGTCGATTACAATATCCTGAGGGTCATGCTTGCGACCGTAGATTGCCTACGAAGCCTCGTCAGTCCCATGCCACTTTGTGAGCGGGAGGACGATACTTACCCAGTTGACGAAGTACGCAACAGATCGATAGCCAGACGCTGCAGGGGCGCCTTGCACTTCATCTCGTCCCTCAAGCTTCGAGATGGCCACGCCATGGGCTACCCAAGCCCAACTGAGCACAACCGTGAGGCTGAAAAAGATCCTGGTTGAGAAGCGCATTGTTGGTCTGTGTGGCTGAGACACTGAGAGATGGTTGTGAGATGTTTCAACCTCGTGAGATGGGTTACGATGGCTTTATAGACAATGGCAGTCACCAAGTAAGTGAATTAAATATGTATGTATTGCACCCTCATGGCTTGAATCATGCAGATGGTCTCCCCCAACTCCAAGGTAGCGGTTGCATCCTGTGAATGAAAACGTTTGGGATTCTACCGTCTTGTTCAAGAAAGTAGGATTTCGATGTTTCACCTTCGTATGGAGAGGCAGAGTTTCTTTATGACACAACAATGAGGTTGCATACAGTCCAAGCTACGTTCTAGTAATGACCCTCTTAGGGTCTCTTGCATAGAAAGGACGTGGTTATGTTTCTGGTCAACGCCTTGGTATACTCGACCAATTCCAATCAGTGGCTGTAGAATCGATCCCAAGCAGATGTGGGATGACCGTAGCGTGGGAGCCACATCGACTAGCAGGAAAGCCCTGTGCAACGTATACAGCCTACAGTCACCGAGTGCCTTCACTGGTGATGGTCATACCAGTGTCGACATAACACACGCGCCGAATGCGCATCCTGACACGGATCATCTTTGTAAACTGGCACATGGCAATACAATTTCATTTGGTTCAAACTTTACCTATAGAGGACAGATGCCTCCGTGTATAGAACCAATGTAACGGTGCTGGCTAGCGTCGGCCGCCATCTGCGACAGGCCAAGGGGTTCCTTGGCTGGTATCACAGCATGTCAGGAGGACAAAGATAACCCTATCGAGGTTGTACGATGGCCGTCGTGGTCCCTGCAGACAAAGGCACGTGCCTGCCTTCACTATCATTCTAATCGCATTCATCGACTGAAGTTGGCCAGTTTCTCACAAAGGGTCTCCCGTGCCCCTATGGTATCATTCACTCCGGACGTGGATGATGGTTAGGTGGCACTTGGGTTTACTCCATTACTTGGCAGACATATAGTAGCACTGACTGAAGATTGATGTCGAGTGCGATATGGAGGAAGATGGTGCTACCTTCACTTTATTGTAAATAGAGTATAGGCTGGTGAAGCTTAATATTGACATATTGTCTAATATCCACGCGATGTAACTTTGACTGCACACCATTTCAAATCAAGTGGATTTGTATCATTGTCAGGAGTCTGACATTTCGCAGAACTCTTCCACAGTCTAGGCCTTTTCGTCCGGGAGAGACTTAATTGGCGTCTGCAATAAGTACGCACTTCTCTGTGATCGAAGTAAACCAGATTAGTCCTGTAGCGCGTCACTACCGAGGACCACGGTGCAACTAGCTGCTACATATGCTCCGACTGGGGGATTGCAGGCGACTGTATCATTTGACATGAAGGTGACAGCATCTGCTAGTGTCACGCTCTATGAGCGGGCTTGCAGATCTTCATCTGCAGGGGTCAGTGACTCTAGAAATTGCCCTCCAATCATGATTCCCCCGGCCTAGGCAGGAACCATCTCTTGAATCGCGCCGAGGTTACATCTGATAACATAATAGCGCAGTGCCTCTGTCTGTCCTAAATCACTGCATAACCACCCGAACTTTTCCTTTCCCCTGCGACTCGATTCCATGACATAACTCTTCATGACTTGATTCTACCAGTGGAAAATGATGTAGAGGCGCAGGGGTCTCATGGGTTCGGAACGGAAGCCATCAAACCTGACGAGATTGGATTTGGCTGCTCCGAGAGAAAATAAATGCGTGAGTACTTCTTGTTTACCGAAAAGCAACATGAGGGATAATCGTCACTAGACATTCTTTGATTTATTTTCCAATTGCTGCCTGGTGGGGCCGATTCGGACATCCCGAGAATATCAATACATACATAGTAGGATTTGCAAGGGACTAGGTGGTGGTGAGTTCGCAATTATCATACACGGCAATAAGTACATAGGTCTGTTTGCCGAAATATAAAGCGACGCAGATCTCTCTCGCAACAACTCTAAGCCAACACATTGCCGTGGCGAGATGCCTTCATGTCTTCACCCGAAGTTCAGCCGGAAGACTCTCTCGGCATTCCCCAGACAGAACCCCACACAACTCCCCGCAAAACAAGTCAAAGGGACTTTGAGAAGAAGGTCTTCATGCACAGAGACCCACTTTCTAGGGGAGCGTCGGTGGTAATTATACCGACAGACCCTGGTGGAAACCCAACTTAAGTGACAATTGTCATCCGCCCCCATGGGGGCAGTGAATTATGCTCCCTATCAAAGCATACCAATGACTGAATAAAGCTGTATGCAACGATGATCCTGAGGCGAAATATCTTCTGCGTAATCAGTGCCGGGCTGCTGGCCAGTCCTGTATTCTGCGATGATACTTTCACCCCTGTGGGCGTGGTTGTAGGCGACCAGCCAGAACTGAGCACCAACGATTTCGCTGCATTTGCTCTCGATCCACAGTCTCCTCTGGCAACTGTGGACTATGGCGCAGAGCGTGCTGGGTATCCCTTCTTCGTCATTTCGTCCCTCTCCCAGCCCGTCCAACTTGAAGTGAAGTATAGTGAAGAGTTCAACGGGCTAGACCACCCTTTCAGTGACGGTCCCTACTCGTTCTCCAATCAGCTGGGAAACTCATTCCGCGTTGAGACATTCAATATCACCAGAACTGGGAGAGTCACGTCCTCCCTTGTGCAGGGTGGACAAAGGTGGCAGTCCATCCGACTGTTGACCAGTGGGACTGTCACACTTTCTGAGGTTGGTTTCGACGCGACAATCGATACCGTGGAACCAGAGAATCTGCCTGGACAGTTCAGCTGCGACGATGACGTCTTAAATGAGATTTGGAAGCTAGGTGCCAGGGCTGCTACAGCTGCCTGCGTTGATAAGCAGTCTCAGAAGGCAATCTGGGAAGTCGACCCGGTCAATGGAGTATTTACACGAAGTGTCCGCCCCTCAGTGTCAGTGAATGGAACAGCATTTGCCAATTACACACTGGAATTTGAGACCATGATCGAAAAGGGTGGCAGCTGGTGGTCCGTCGTAAGTGATTGAGCTAGTTATTTGGGAGCGAAGATCGATGTGTCTGACCCTCTCACGACAGGCATCGCCCATGGCTGGTAGCGCGTACACCATGATGCTGACCGGCGAGCTCCCGGAGGCCAGTCGTCTGGCAAATGTGAATGCCACATTAACGCCATCCAACACCATTTCGCTTGCCTACGGAGTTGACTTTGTCAACCAGACCACCCTCACAACATGGGTGCTGGATGTGTTCGAGGTGCCATTCGCAGTGCGCGAAAACACCTGGTACAAAGTATCCGTCTCATTGTCACCCAGTGGCTATCTGTCGGCCTCGTTGAACGATAGACAAATCTTCAACATCTCGAAGGCCGCATATCCTCTGGCAACCGGGGAGTTCTCAGGGTCCTTTGGGTTTGGTGCCTACCAAGACCATGCGGCGTACTTCAGAAACGTGAACGTCTATGACACTGAGACTGGGTCTACCTTGTACACAAATTCACTGACCACTGAGGATGTTCTGGCGGAGTATGGCACTCAGGCAAACCAGGAGAGTCTCTGCTTGGACGGCCCAAAGCGCGACCGACTAGTATGGCTAGGCGACTTCATCCATACAGCGCGAATTCTCGGTGTCAGCACATCCAGAATCGATCACGCTCGGGGGACATTGCAGTACCTGTTAGATTCGCAGATTGATGATGGCGAGCTGGCGATCTCTCCTAACATAGGCTACAATATGAAAGCCTCGCCTAATTCATTTGCACCAACTGGCTCCTACTACCTCTCGGACTACCAGCTCTTGGGGTTGATTTCCTTTCATGACTTCGTCCAGTGGAGTGGTGACCTCGCATGGGCGAAGACGACATGGCCGAAGTGGCAGAAGCAGATTGACTGGATAATTGGTAAGGTCAATAATACTACCGGTCTCATCTCCTTCAACGCCGGGGCCTTTATAGGCCCTCAAGATGGCGGATCCGCCGTCGCTTGTGCAGCTGTGCAAGCGCTGACTGGCGCCGCCGAAGTGGCCACTGCGCTTGGAGATACTAAGTCGGCTTCTCGCTACCAGCGGGTTGCGGCGTCCATCGCGAATGCCGTCAACAAGAATCTCTGGAACGACCAACTGGGGGCATACAGCTCCTCCATTGACGATATTGGTAACTTCTCCGTCAGTGGCACAGCATACTGTATCAGCTCCGGGGTGGCATCTTCTAATCAGACTGCACGCTCCTTGGCTACCCTGTCAGGTCTGCGCCTGGGGCCTGGCTACAAAGACTCTTCTGATGTCTCTGATTCCGATCCCACGGTGAACATCTCGCCCAACACTAATGGCTTCCTCCTTCCAGCTCTATTCAAGGCCAATGCTACAAACATGGGTCTTCAGTTGATCAAGAATCTCTGGAGTGTGATGCTTCCCCTCGATGAGTCACAGAATCGGACTGCGGTGGGAACAAGTTGGGAATACGTCAACGCTCAAACACACCAACCGGGACTTAGCCTTTTCACCAGTCTAAGCCACCCTTGGGGTGGAGCGCCAACATATATATTGACCGAGTGGGCAGCAGGATTGCGCCCTGCCCAAGGCCCCGACGGATTCGGATACCGCAAGTGGATCATTGCACCTGAAACAGGCTTCCAGATTGGCTTGAAAAGAGCCCAGGCTAAGGTTGTTACGGCCTTTGACGGTTCACTAAGCGTTGAGTGGCATGTGCAGGATGGTAAGCTTCATGCGAACATCATGGCGCCCACCTCAACTGAGGGACAATTTGTGTTCCGGGGAAGGACTATCCAGCTGTCTGGTAAGGCTTCTTATAATGTTTCTGTGAGTGTCTACTAGGCAGTACTGCACTTAGTCAAATTATCTTGTACTACCAATGAGGGCATTGGATCCAATTATATCCCGTATACCATTAATAGAGTGTTCTACATTTGACGACTTATAAAGTATGGAAGCCGTGAGACGGCATCTGGGATTTGCCTTTTAGACATACTGCAACGTAAATGGCAAATCATCTCTTCCTTCTATTAAATTACTCTGACAAAGACATGCTACTTCCATGCAACAAGTCATGTTAAACTCTATATCTTGGACATTCCTCCCGTGAATCCTTCGTCGTTCTGCCTCTCGTCATGATATAGAAGGGTTCTAGGTCTAGCAGGAACGTCAAGCATTCTCAACGAGACCGCCGGGAGAAAGGTCGTGTCCCATCGCTCTATTACTACCGGTAATAATTTTGAGAACCTGTTCAAAACAGTATCTCTGAGTTCCGGGGTCTCCATAGCGTCCATTCGCTGCCGAAAATGGGCCATCTCCATCAACTGGGACAATCTCGGGGCGCGGAGATCCTGGACCTTCTGAAAGATGCTGTGCAGCTCTGTCATTGATGGTGCACCCCACGAGGATGGTTGCGATAAAACCTCCATGAGACTGTTTGCCAATGCCGCTGCACTCTCTACAGCCTGGCTTCCTCCTTGTCCGATGCTAGGAAGCATCTGCCACCATGAGTAATCGTCAGTTATATCACGAGTCGCAATTGGAATTTAGGGGACCTTGTCATGCGATCTCACCTTGTGAACGGCATCTCCAATGAGCATAACTCGGTTCAAGTGCCATTTTCTGTCCACGCATTCACGCATAGGAGTGTATATAGTCGACATCCTGTTCTTGTAGAGATCTGAGAATCGCACGTCAGGCGTAATGTGGTCATTCCAGTGCTTTTGAGCAAGGGCGTCTAGTTCTTTGTTGTCTAATCGAGGGATATCTGCGCCGTAGAATGTCTTCCCCATATTGGACATCAGAAACCAGTACGTCCGGTTTTCAGGTCCACTTCCAATGACGTATGAGGACTGGTGGTTTACTACAAAATCAAGACAGCCAGGGGCGATTCCAGGAATTCCAGTTGACACGCCGAAGACGCAGGAATAGGTTGCAGGTGGCTCATCATTGTAGTCATCCTGGATCCGAAGGTTTCTTGCCAACCGAGTCATTTCCTGTCTGATACAGGAGTGGGTCCCATCGGCTCCGACAAGAATGTCACCGCGGTATATAGAGCCATCTGTCGTGGTGACCTCGACGCAGCTCTCGGCGTGTTCAACTGTTGCGACACGCTTCTGAGTCAACAACTTTGATTTGTCTGAGATCCGGCCGTAAAGAGTCGCGAGCAGCCCCTGGCGGTCCATACACAGAGCATGATAACCATATCTATTGTTCAAACATAAGCGAAACAGGCAGGTCCCGATAGGACGATACGAGGCATACCTTTCATTCAATACCGACCCATCTACCGAGCCTAGTACCTTGCCTTCTAGATCTCGCCAGGATATATCAGTAACGGAAGTCTGGGTATGACTGAGTAGATCCTCATAGCAGCCCAACTGATCAAGGATTCGGAGACCGTTAGGCATCATGCAGATACCAGCCCCAACATCTGTCACAATCTTTGGGTATGCCTCAAGTAACACATAGTCAACGGCATTGTTTTCCAGCATAAGAGCAAGGGCGAGACCAGCGATTCCACCTCCCACGATTAGGACCTTGCACGGACGGAGAGCCATGCCGGATAGTCTATAACTAGGCACATTCCAGGGGAGTTTTAAGTGAGATTAAGATAAACTGGATGCTGGGTTCCCAGACGTTTAGTGGGGCTTTTCACCTTTGGGATGCATGGAAAGAAATCTATGGTGTTAAATAGATTCATGCGTGGTCCCCTACACAATATAGGCAAGACGATTTGGTATGCCTGACAAGTGCTAGATTCACGATTGTTGCCACGTTGATCGACTGCGCCTCTAGGATGGCACAGTAGTGGATCCGTGTCAGATGGATACGACGAAAAGCCAAACTCTGGGTCCACATGATGGCCCCAAGAGCCGGAAGAGTACGCCTCCTATTGGCAGGCTCGTCTATGTACGTCCTTCACTAGTGGCTATGATTTATGAGTACAAGAGAACTGTTCTACTATCACCGCTCTTCGTAGCATGCTTGCGGGACGCCTATCAAAAAGAAGGTGCTAGGAATGACGACTCAGTACAGAACTTGATTTGCTCTAGAGGTGAGCTAAGTGAAAAACAATAGAGAAAAGGAGACACGAAGAGACTTTTTCTTTCATTCTTTTTTTTTTTTGTGTGTGTGTTGTTTTTTATTTATTTTATCTCAGTTTATATTATCATTGCCCCCCTTATGCGCCGTAACGCCGGAGCCATGCCCCCAAGTATTACCTTCCCCAACTCTCTCGGCACCAGCATTCGTATCCAGCGAAGTTTTTTCTTCTATCTCTTCTTTGAGTCTGTTCGCCTCCTGATTCAGGTGCCTCTCTCCGTGTTCTCAGTAGCTCGATCAGCCTCTACTATCTACCTTTGGAGGCCAGGAGCAGCTCTTGGACCTGTAACATAGTTGACTTTAACTATAGTTCCTAAGACTAGCCTTTGCAGCAAGCAGAGCAAGGAATTCAACTTGACAGCTTGCACGCCAAATAACTGCTCAGGCGTCATGCGGTGCAGCTATCGTTTCCAATAATACCAACAGGTTCTGTATTGATGAGTACATTCCCAACCTACTGAATAAGCGCCGGGAAGGCATAGGTTTCCATCTGAGCGGCGAGAGCGTTAAAGGCTCGTACACAGGACCAGCCGGACATACATTTGACGCTTTCAAGGAGATCCAGCGGAGAAAAATCACTCTCAACCACGGACGCATCGCGCGCCCCATTCATATTGGACACGCGCACCCGTCGCTGGTGGTCCGTCATTATGACCACGAGTTCCTTGGCAGATAGAAGCTGTCCCGCTCGATTAGTGACAATGGGAGTCGTGTCTTCAGGAATCTGGCCACTCATAATATTTGTCTGCAGCTCTAGCTTCATCGCTTGAGAGGCTAAAGAGACACACCAGTTAGAATCGAACGTCCCCTCGCGATGTGGCCACTCCCAAAGGAGTTCCATGGCTTGCCACCGCACCGTGTAATCCCGACAAGCGAACGCAGTATGGAAGAGGGGAGGAATGATGCCACATTGAATGCTGATACTCGGTCGTTCTGGGTATTTTTGCAGGAATGCTTCGATGCGGATGAGGACCATCTCATAGTCAGATGTATAACAATCCAGGACGGAGATGTTCCCGCCCACGAGGCACGTTTTTAACGCTACCGATAGGCCCAAAATCCATATCTCTACTAGGTCAGCCCCCCTCTGCTCTGCACGACTCAGACGAGCGTACATGCTACTGTAGAATTGCTTAAAACGCCGTATGAAAAGGCTCATTGTGGACCAGATCTGAAGCTGTTGGAGGTGCAATGCCTCATAGTCGGTACCGATGTGATCGGGTGGGCGATACATACAGGGAGAAATAAACTGAAACACCATACTGAAGTAGGGTTCAAACGCACGGAGCACATCTTGGAGATTCTGGAATGGTATGGACGGATCGCAATCTATCCGATGGTCGCTTAGCTCATTCTCAATGCACAGCAGCGGACCCCCGACTCCAAAATGGGTGGACATGATATCCAAGTGCGCAAATGCGGCGACCAGGCTCTGTTCGACCAGCTCCTCCCGAGGTGTCGGTGCGATTAGTTGCCGATGGGCCTGCAGGTCCTGCAGAATCCGGATGCCACTCTGAAGATGGCTAAACGCGTTATCATAATGTCCGCGCAGGAGATCCGATAGCACAAACACAAGACAGCAGACTAGTGTGACGTTACAGAACCGAGGATCCTGGGATGTGCGGCGCTTGGTCAACAGATTAAAGGCGCGGCTCAACTGCTCCAGAGCGAATTGATGCCAAGTATTACGTGGCTGGTCCATGGGCAATGGCATCCCCTTGGCTTCGGAATCGTAGTGGATCGCACTGAGGGCGACCACGGCATGGTATACGGCCGGCTCGGACTGAGAGATTTGAAAGACCAGCTTTTCCCACAGGGTCGAATCGAACAGACCGAGGAGGGTGGGAATAGTGTGGTGTTGGAAGTATGAGAGGCAACGTCGCTCGTCCGAGGTCATTTTCCAGCGAAAGCCATTGAGAATCTCCACCTGGACCTGTGATGAAGAGTCTTTCTTCAGTGTCCTTCCCCCCAGTGGCAACCGATACAGATCATAGCCATCGCAGCGTCGACCGCTGGATGTACAGTTCTGACATGAGCCTGGGGTCTCATCGCATTTAATATGACGAGCTCTGCAAGTCCGACATCCCTTCCGCGATCTCTTCCCGCCTGCTCTTCGTCGATCCGTGGTTATGGGTTTCATGTTGAGAGACATGGTAGGTCATGGATAACAAGGGAGGATCGTAAGGCTGAGATCGCCACGTACTCGCACTCTTGCCAGAATATATTTAGACTATGGCCGATCGGTTAAAAAGGGGAAGGACATCCGTCGCAAAATGAGGCTGACAAGAACGAATTCCTCTCCACAGCCTCCGTCCAAACCGGCGTATCATCCAATCAAACTAGTGATGCACGTTGACTAGTTAGTAATTTAGTTCAGCTGGAAGGCTGACGTTGGACGAGGGACTTGGCGTTCGCTGTATTTTTCTTCCTTTTACTTTATTGATTTATTGTTATTATTGTTATCATTATTTTTATTTTATTATATTTAATTTTTTTTTCTTTTCTCTCTCTCTCTCTCTCTCTCTCTCTCTCCGTTCGTGACCTCGGTTGCTGCTATTTTGTCTCCCCATCTTCCCACCTTCAAGACTCCCCCATGTGCTCCACACGGAGTATTGATCTTCTGTTACAAGTTACAACTAAAATGGCCCCCAGTGACAGAGTGGAGACTATACGCTGGTGCTCGGCTAGATGATAACCGACTGTAAATGGAGCCCCACTGTCTGTGTGGTGTCCTGAATGTACTTATGTAGCGTCTGTGGGAGTAACGCCAAGACAAATGAATGGATTTCCAGTTTAGAAAAGCTATTCGGTTCACATCCCAGGCTGAGGCTTAGCATTTAAATTGGTGGGGCCTTCGGCTTGATCTTTCTTAATGCGCCTTTGCTCCAACCATGTCACCAGCCCTGCGATGCCAACGACGAGGCAAGCCAGGCAAACGAATAGACCAGTGGTCCAACTCGGCCGATTCAATCGATTCATCGTCCACATACATAAGGCTAGACAGATCTGGAAGACGGTGTTGAGCATGTTTCCCCAAACCACGACGTCCATTTTCCAGAGGGCAGTTGGTGTGAGATGGGCCATTTCCAGTTTGGCAGAAGAAGATGCTGCAGTGGGCAGCATGTCTACCTCCTGAGGCCGACGGAACCAATTCGAATGGAAATCGGCGAGGCGAACGAGCCCTCTGTGACGACTCCGCTCCGACCGACTTAATCGCCATAAACCCCACAGATAGAGGTCGCGAATGCGCCAGGGCGCCAGCCCAAACCCCGTCACGCAGAAAAGAGCGTTCAGGATCTGCGAGTCGATCTCGATCCAGATTCGGCGCGAAGAATTAACGCTGTCGCAGTCGGGATGACACATCGCCGGCGCCGCATTGCACATCAAGAGGAACAGCATGCCTCCCCAGGCAACAATATTTAACCCGTAGATCGTTATCAGGAAACCTAGGGGTGTGCACATCCAGCGAACGAAGGGACGCCCGGTCTTTGCCCAGAAACCTTCAGGCGACTGTGTGGCTTCATCGCTGTTGTCCTGGATCTGCGCTCAACAAATTAGCTGTGTGCAGAACCTCTCCCAGACGACTACTTACTCGATCGTATGGATGAAGCGAGCCCTTCCTGGGACCCATATAGCGTTTCTTGTTTGGACTTGTGCTGTGGTCTTGATTTATGTCCAACCCTTGCCCCATGAATACATCGTGTGCTCTCTGTGTGCTGACGACTTTATAACCGTGCAGGGAAGGAACTGTTGACTGGATGATCGTCATAATGTGTCCACCTGGTAAGAAACGGCAGAAACACGAGAATGGAAGTAAAGGATCTTTAATTTTAAAAAAAAAAAAAAAAAAAAAAATAGCAAAGAAGATGCCTGCACCCCCTGCAGAAGATAAAGGATGTTTTTGTTGCCTGTATGATGGCTTAGATGGACCGAAGTGGCAGTCTGTACGAATACGAAAATGCATGGACCACAGTTTCTTTTTTTACCCACAAGTGGATTCCTTCGACGTGGCAAACCAGGACGCATGCTAGTTTCTTTCTTGGTCTTAAATCTATAAAGTAAAAACACATGGATGATGCCGAACATGTTTGATATATTTCAGAGTCATTGCAGATACCTCTGAAAGACGGGAAGACGGAGATTGCTAGCAACCCATGCAGTCGGCCTTCCGTTATAAACACATCGGACGTGTGTTCAGGAGAGACGTCCTCATCGAGGAACGCATTCCGGATCTCAAATTTGAGTTCAGGCAAGCATGACTTCGGGAGGCTTCCCGGTACAGATTCCATGTACTCATTAGCTTGATAGTTGAGTATGGAGACGACCCTCGTGTCCCACATTGTCTCACGCGAGAGAGGAGAATTAGATATAGTCCTACCTCTCTGCTCTTGCAATATCCGCTTGCCAGCAGCATTGATATTGCCCAAGAAGACTCGAAAACTAGGGTTGAAAATCCGCTAGGGACGCCTCCACATTTCTCAACAGCATTGTGAAAGTAGTGTTCGGCAGCTTCATCCCATACCGGAGAAGTGCATGAGGTAGGCGTGGTTATAAACACTCCAAGACACAATACACAGCTCTGTAAGGTGCGAACCAACGTGGAGACACTGCACAGGCCAGGATCGTTGTTCTGGGGCATGGGATCTCTTCGGTCACTTCCGATCCTTGCGATACTAACGGATGCTGGGAATTAAGCCTCAATTGAAGCGACTTAAACCAAGTATTTGTAAGCTGGCTTGCCTAGTGGAGACCCTCTTTTATCTCAACCGCAATGTAGCGCTAACAAAATGTGTTACTGGTAGATCCCTGGAGAATTTTATTAAACCGGTCATGGATCAAGATCCCACAGCCTCAACCATATTCTAAAGCCCCTAATACTGACTATATAAGAGGACGGTTTGCTCTTGGGGCACGCACTGTGTAGAGAAGAGAGATACAGAGGTTTGAAGTAGATTATATATATAGTCTCCCTATTTCTATGAATTTATGCCAAGCTAGTTTAATTGATTATGGGCCGGTTAAAGGGTCCCGCCTAATCCAGTGAGGCAGAGTAGATCAGTACTAAGTACATTATTCCCTGGCCTGCGCACATATCTATCTTGCTTTGGTGATATTAAAACCCCATCGATTCACACACACACACACACACACACACACACACTCTCTCTCTCTCTCTCTCTCTCTCTGGTAGATTTTTATTCTGTGTCAGCCTATTACAGAGTCTACAGACTATATCCCCTAAGCTGTAGTGTTTCTCTTTTCTAAATTCTGATTGTATTGGGTGTCTTAACTATTGTTTGGGTAACATAGTGTCTGGTTATATTAATTATTAATATATCTCGGGCTCGAGCGACAGGTCTTCAGTATATAATTATCTTTTATTCTATACTCGGTACGCTTTAGCTGTTAACCCAGCCAATACTCCTTTCTTTTCTGAAAGCCCTGCCGGGGTTATAAACAGAAAAATAGCTGTTGCTACTTCTGTTTAATAATAGATAGTGTAATAGCTATAAATCTTTCTGATATATCGGAGCAGATATATTTCTAGCTGTCTTATTCGGTAATATAATCCTCTATACCAGTAATACTGGAGTGTTCTTGTAGTTATGAGTCCAGAGCTTCTTGTTCAGGCTGAACTTCCAATTGTAGACAGAAATCCAGTAGTTCCGAGATAAGACTAGATAATAGAAAATATCTAAAATATTATATTTACTGGTCACGAAGTAAATATTAATACTTTAAATTTTATTATATTATTTCTTATCTATTATTCTGTTATCTAATATACTATATAAGCTGATCTTGATCGAATTCTCCAGAATATACTACCAAATCAGGAGATATATAATATATATTTTAATCTGTTAATAAATAGTCTTGTAGGAGCGGTAATTAATAAAGTCTTATATCTTTTTACTGTTCTACTGGTAATCTCTAAATATGTTCTTCTGACAGGATCTCCTGCCTCGATTATTATCGATAGTTTGATCTGTCTGTTAATATCGGGTATAGTTGTCTTTGTAAATACTAGTCCTATTTATTGTTATTTACAATATTGACTATATCGGGAATCTAATACCGATCTGATAATTTTGGAAAATTGTATAAAACGGTCTTTTATAGTATCTGATTTCGATTCTGAATAGTAAATTCAAACAATAGATAGTACAAAAAATATAATTTTAAATCTAGTTTCCGGTAGTTTTATACTATTCTTGGAGGGTAGTTCAGTATATCTGGGATATTGTTGTATTATCCGTGAGGCTGCTTACCAGAGACGAAGAAGACGGTCCTGCAGATATCTGGGAAGCAGTAAGAGATCGGGCTGAGCTAGCTCTTTCCGAGGGGGTTAAATTTGATATGAGTTTGCGGATTGTTCACAGTCTGCCGGTCCGATTCGAGGTACGGAAATGAGGCACAAGAAACAAGAAATAGAAACCATTTTTCGCCCAGTAACCTACAGTTGAAATGTACAATTTCAGAGATTGAACTTGACAGTCGTAGATACTTCTTCACGGACCATCAAGACACATTGATTCCAGAGTAGACGATATAGGTTGCTGGAGCGAAGATGACTGTAGACAATGACCACGTTGAGGCCCTCCTGAAGCCTTTGGCGGACTCGGGACTGATTTCCATAGTGCGGTTGCGACATAACATGAAGGCTTCTCCTGATACTCGTCCTTTCTGGCCCAAAACAACGCTCGCGCGGGATTCTATTGCATGCAACTAATGGTATCTAGTACAGTTATCGTTTAGTCTAGTTACTTTACAATTTTCCTTGAGTGGGCCGGGCGCGGTCCCCATTCTTCAAATTCCGATCGAATCCGACCACCATGCAAACTTGAGAGCTGATGGCAATCAGCTCTCCATTCTGGTCAAGGATCTCCACACTGATATCAGCTCGTCCGGCGCGCAAGGTCTGTGTAACCACACGGCTATGTAACCAGGCAACACCCTCCTTTGGGATCGATTTCTTCAAATCCACATTGAAAGACACCGTGGGGAACCAGAAGGGACCTGGTGAACGACTCTGTCGGTCTTCTGGGTCGTTCGTACTCGCCCAAGCGGAGGTTGCCATCGCACCAAGTCTATCCAACGCCATCGGAAACAGATCGAGTAGGCACATTAACGCCTCATTTGTCCATTGGGCAGGCACCTGGCCACCGGGGCGAAATCTCGCCCACTGGTCCACGGTGGACTTAATGCGCTCCTGTACAGTGGAGGGCGGTGGTGTGCCATAGAGCTCTGTATGCTGAGAAACTGCCATTGCGGGAATTGTGGGGAATCTTGTCCATTGGCCATCTCTCCCTGTTTTCGCCAGCGCCGTGAAGTCGACCCCGCCGTCCGGTTTGGATCCTGGGGGTGGGTTTGGATGAAGGACCGGAGTCCCTTTCACCACGGGGCCCTCTTGGTCTGTCTCGATAGGACTGACCGTTATGTATCCCACCACCTTAGTTTGCGGTCCTTTGGACGCCGCATCCTGCGACAGCGTTACTTGGATGGTGCTCGTTCGCGCGCCTAATTTGACCTCTTGAACGGTTAACGTGGCCGGTCCGACTTGTGTCGGGCGCACAAAGGTCAATTGAAAGGAGATCGGTAGGACGGGTTTGGATCGGTAGGGCGACGTATCGGATTGAGCGAAATGCGTGGTGGTCAGGCGGTAGAGGATGGCTGTCGTATAACCTCCATGAGGGACTAGATCGAGGTCACTAACGGCCATGAATGAATCGGAGGAAAGCTTCGGTCATACCATTTCCGATACACCAGTCCTTCTGTAAATGCGCCGAGTATGTATGCGAAGTTAGGGGAGTGACCCTGATTGCTTCCTCAAAGAGTTCGGAATGCGGAGGTGACATTTCGACAATATATTACACGTATGTTGCGCAGGGCAATTGATGCATGAGCGCGGTCAAAGAACCTGGGTCAACCACATTTTTCTTTCTCTTTCTTATCTTCATGGTGATAGATTTGCCCCCTGGCCAACCGGAGCTCTCTTTCATGAGGATTGATTATATGATTTGTATCCACAGTTCAGTCCATCGAACCTCGGCAATGAAATGAGCCATCACGGGATGAAGGGATCACGTGGGACCACGTGGGACCATCCAAACAGGGGAAAGAAAAGATTGAAAGAAAAGATTCAATGGGAAAGGGAAAGGGAAAAAAAAAAAAAAAAAAAAGCACAGATCAGAAAGAAAGATATTAGGTTCTATGCTAATATGAGAAGCAGGAAGGCTATCTTCACATTGGTAAGTTATGATTCGACCTGAAGCTAATTATCTGGACCTCGGCGTCCTCGACGACTGCCAACCCAAACAGGCACTAGTCTACATTGAGCACCCTCATAGCGCTTAACCCCATACGTCTTAGTCCTATCTCGTTGGATCCATTGCGGAGGACTAATCACTTCTACCTAAGTATATCCTGAGGTTGTTTGGGAACCAGAAGATGACTTGGAGTTGCAAAGGTACCATTGTCAAGGACTCTTGGTGTGCAGACAGCCAACGACATGATACGTCCATTTCTGATCTCCGGGTTAGGCAAGGCTCGCCCCGATCACGAGATCTGCTGCGGTATGCGTTGGATTCACTGCGAATCTCTCGTTCAATTCCAGACTCACTCACTGCATACACACATTCCAGAGGCATATTGAGTATCTAATCTGCATCATCGACCCTCTTGCGTCGACGTCATCTACCAGTCAGGATGAAGACCGCGACCCCATTCCCTATCGAAAATCTGCCATACGGAGTGGTCTCCACCCCGAATGACCCAACCCCTCGTTGTGCAACGGCCTTCGAGGACTATGCGATCGATCTCAGCCGGCTCCAGCGGGATGGATTCTTTAACTCAATCCCAGGCATGATTGACGGCGCCTTTAGCAAGGTACAAACACCCCGCCCATATTGCTATAGCAGAGGTTGACACTACATCTTTCTCGAAGCCTGCTCTGAATGTCTTCGCATCAACCCCCCAATCCACGCAAGCCGAGGTGAGAGGGCATCTAGTTCGGTTTCTTGAGGGTGCAAGCGAATCTGATAGAGACAAATACTTCATTCGCTTGTCGCAAGTGACGAACCATTTGCCCATGGAGACCGCGAACTTCTCCGACTTCTATTGTTCGCTTGAGCATGCACAAAACGTAAATGACCATGTTCCATTTACGCTTCTCTTTGGAGCGCCTGGGATTCGCTGGCTGACTATATACCATGCATAGTGCTCAAAAATCATGGGCCTTGAAGTCAACTCAAACTGGTATTACATTCCATCGGTCTACAACGGCCGCACATCCAGTCTGAGAGTGTCGGGGCAGCCTGTCCGCCGACCGTGGGGTGTTATATCGGGACCAGGTAGATCCTCTCCGGTGACGTGGTCACGAAGTAAGAGGCTCGACTTCGAGCTCGAGATGGGTGTATTCTTAGCGAAGCCTCTACCAGCTGGTCAGATCCTCGACATCCGGAACGCCAGGGAGCATATCTTTGGTTTTGTCATTCTGAATGACTGGTCGGCGAGGGACATCCAAGGATTCGAAATGGCCCCTCTTGGTCCGTTCCATAGTAAAGGGTTTGGAACCACGGTCTCACCATGGATCGTCACGATCGATGCCCTGTCGCCTGTGGAATGCCCCGTATCTATTCCGCAGAGCCCGCCACCCTTACCCCATTTGGCCTGGAAAGGAGACAGCTCAAATGCCACATGGGATATAGAATTGTCTGCGAGGATCTTGCGTTGGTGTCCTTAGTAGATCTACACAGTGTAGCCCATACTAATTGTGTGAGCAGGAAAGGGGAAGACGTATCACATTACGTCTACTAATCTCAAAGACCTCTACTGGACGCCGTATCAGCAGCTCACCCATCTCGCGAGCGCTGGAGAAGGCCTCTCGACAGGAGATATATTTGGCACGGGTACTATCTCAAACGATGTACGTATTATTCTCCTCTCCCGTGGTTGCTTCCCTCCACAAGGCTCAGTACGCTAACTAACACACCGTGCAGCGACTCAATGGAGTCGGCGAAAAGTCTGGCTTGGCCTGTCTTTTGGAAAGAATACTACCTCAGAATAGACTAGCATGTATGGAGATAGACGGACTTGAATATCTAGAAGATGGGGACGAGGTCGTTATGGAAGGGTGGTGCTTTCATCCACAGAGCGGTAGATATTTTGGATTCGGCGAGTGTCGAGCTGTAATTGTGCCAGCGTTGGACTAGTGAGATACGTGACATAGGTAACGCGATATTGCGTATGGCTATGGCGAAGGATGACTCTCAGGATTTGTTTGGTTTACTTCTATGCTGGACAAGGACAATCATACAAATTGACGGTCAGGAATAGGAACACCCTTCAGTATCCGCTTCTACCTACTACTACTACTAGTACTACTACAATTGTTATAATTGTGACTGCTCACGTGCAGGGATCCCATGACCTGGGCGGGCCCTACTAATTCGATTGACGCATGCAGCAAACGCAAGGGATGAATGCCATCCAGACGGAACCTCAACTTTCTCCCTGAAATAACCTTTTGTCGCCCGGCATAAAACACCCACCCAAGTAGTTGACAGAATCCTGGATGGTACCAGCACCAAGGTATTCGTCCATAATTGGTGTCGAAAATGATGGATTCGAAAGGTGAAGAGGCGGTCGGGGATGCGCAGCGGGAGATTGTCGAGGACACCAAAGTCGTTTTGGGAGCTACAGACGAGCGGATTCTATGGGATGAAAAGGAATCCCGGGCCGTCGTGCGCAAGTTTGACATGCGATTGCTAAGTCTTTTCACCGTCATTAACCTGTTCAGCTTTATCGACCGAGTTAATATCGGCAATGCGCGTTTACTGGGACTCGAGAAGGATCTAGGATTGTCCGGACTACGCTTCAATATCGCGCTGATGTGCCTTTTCGTGTCATATTGCGTTGTAGAGTTACCTTCAAACATTTTGTGTAAAGTCGTCGGGGGACATATCTATATCCCTACCCTTGTGCTTTGTTTTGGCATCATTACGATGCTCACCTCGCTGGTGGAGCAGAAAGGTGGCCTGTATGCATGTCGCTTCCTCCTGGGAGTCTTCGAGGGTGGTATATCCCCAGGAGTGGTCTTTATGTTGGCCTTATTGTAAGTCCTCTTGCCTTCTTCATCTCTTACCAGCGGATGCTGACAATATAGCTACCGCCGGCATGAATTAGGTGTCCGAACAAGCATCTATATCTCTGCATCTTCGGCAAGTGGTGCTTTCGGTGGCCTTTTAGCGATCGGACTGTCCAGGATCCCTCCCTGGGGCCTCATTCATACATGGAGAAACATTTTCTTTTTCGAGGTTGGTATCTCTAACTTCCTTTGAGAGGGTATCTAACAGTACCCTAGGGCCTAGTGTCCGTCATTCTTGCAGTCGTCGCGTTCATCTCCATCCCGAATGGCCCAGAAAACGCACGGTTCTTAACAGAATCTCAAAAACAAGTCGCAGTGGATAGAATGCGGATTGACTCTGCAGGAACGACTGAACATTCGCGGACTACACCCCGCCATATTGTCCAGGGCTTGACTACACCGCCAGTAGTATTCTGCGCCTTCGGGTTTTTTTTCGGAAAGTGAGTCGTCTGTCGACATGAAACCGATGAACTCTCTGCTCAAGAAACCTGACAGCACCTGTGCTCAATCCTTCTCATTGTTCTCGCCTTCAATCATCAGCGCCATGGGTTATACCAATGAGCTGGCTCAGCTATTATCAGTTGGACCTTACGTATGTCCCCCCTTACTCCCTCCTAATCACACACAGGCCCAGGTAATTGATAGAGCATAATGTTAGGCTGCCGCCTGTGCGATATCCATCGTGGTAGGCTACATCTCCGACCGTTACCAAAACCGTGGCTGGGTGATCTTTGCCACCGTTCCGTTCGGAATTGCTGGCATGGGCATGCTCGAATTCCTCCCGGCTTCTATGCCGGGTGCGAAGTACGGAGCCTTGTACCTTGCTGCACCGGGCATCTATGCCTTTCTGCCGCTCTGGCTCGCCTGGGCAGTTAATAATGCCGCGACACCGACCGTCAAAGCGGCCTCGGCGGGATTAGTCTTCACCATCGGGTCGCTGGGCGGGATTCTCGCACCCTGGGTCTATTTGCCCGGGGATGCGCCGAACTACCGGACGGGTCATGCAATCATGTTTGCCTTTTTATTTGGGAGTTGGGCGATGTGCATTGGCATGATAATCTATATCAAATGGGAGAACCGCGCCAGAGAAATGGGAAAGCGAGATATTGTTTTGGATGGATTGGGGTCTGAGGAGCAATTGGAGCTGAGTAGTCGACATCCAGCATTTCGCTACGCTGTCTAATATTTAAACAAGGTGTAAGCTTAGATCCGATAGTTGCAAACATGGCATTACCCATAGACGTCGTATGCAGCCATACAGGTTTCCTCGTCAGTCTTCCATCATCTTTGCGTCCTGGAGACGCATTAATATAGTGACCAGGGTCGCCACTTTAGTCAACCACATCGACTTGAGTATTTGTTGCTCAGGGAACAAGATATATTGGGAGTCCTGGAATGGAAATGCAAACCCCCTATCCGGATCGCAAGCATTCGGAACACGTATGGATGCGACCTTTCGGTAGACTTTCTTCGGAGAAAAAAAAAAAAAAAAAAAAAAACAGCCTTTGAGCGCTTCCGTCCGATCCGAAGGCCAGTTCAGACTAGCCCAGTACCTTCCTGTCAGGCTCATCAAGCATCGTTCATGAATACTCGCTGGCCGTTGATTCGCAATAGCGTGGTATTGCTTACGCCAATTAGTTGTAGTTACCGAGGTTCAAATGTAACTGGATAATCTCCGGCATGCATTGATCAGCTCATCTGATTGCTAATGCAATTTAAACCTATGGACTGACATCTACAAAGGGATAAGTAGCTGTCAAGATCAGAGAGCATTAAGGTGCCACCATGGCCGCACGTGCGTCCGATCTTCGTCGGTTTAGGGCTATCGATGCGGATCCACTCCCTTTAGTAGTGTCGGCTCTACACTCCAAAATGGAAAAGGATATGCATTAAGGTAGTATGCCAGGTCAGGAACATTTGATAGAATCCGAAGGCAAAGGATATCCCATTACACGTGCGCGGCATCAATGCTTGTTCTTATAAGCCCTATGTTTGTGCCTAAAATGTGGTTGAATAGGTCTGTGGCTTTCATCCCTCGCCTCGCCCCTCTATTTTAAGCGGATTGTCTTTTTGGTCATTAAGAATTCTGATTGACTATGTTGAGCTTGCAGTCATTCGGCAAAGTGCTGCCACTGCTGGTGGGAACTGGCCTGGCAGCTGTTAGCTATCCACCAATTCCCGAGGATTTGACGACCCCTTATCAACAACGTCTTGCGATATATGGTCCAAATGGTGCGCAAGTTCATTCCCCATCCGAAGCAGAACCATGATTAACATCCTGATATAGCCGTTTCCGTGGGTTGGAATACCTATGAGAAACTCAACCAAAGTTGTGTCCAGTATGGCACATCTAAGGCCAAACTCGACACACAGGCCTGCTCTTCGACTTCGTCGACATATGCAACCTCTCGGACTTACTCCAATGCTGTTGTCCTCACAGGCTTGACCCCAGCAACAACGTACTACTACAAGATTGTTTCCACGAACTCTAGCGTGGATCAGTTCCTCAGTCCTCGCAGCCCTGGCGATACCACGCCTTTCAACCTCGATGTAGTCATCGACCTTGGGGTGTTCGGCAGAGATGGTTACACCATCACCTCCAACAACGCTAAGAAGAGCAGCATTCCATCTATCGATCCGGCGTTGAATCATACTACCATTGGCCGCTTGGCTGAGACCGTTGATGACTATGAATTCGTCCTTCATCCCGGTGATTTTGCCTACGCCGATGATTGGTACCTCAAGCCGAAAAATCTGTTGGACGGGAAAGATGCCTACCAGGCAATCCTGGAGCAGTTCTACGACCAGCTGGCTCCTATCAGTGGACGCAAGCCGTATCTGGTTTCCCCAGGGAACCACGAGGCGGCCTGTGGAGAGATCCCCTTTACAACTGGTCTCTGCCCTTTAGGACAGCGTAATTTCACTGCGTACATGCATCGGTATGACGAGACCATGCCCAGTGCTTTTACTTCCTCCTCGTCAAACACCACGGCCCAAAAGCTCGCTACAAAAGCCCAGAGCCTCGCTCAGCCACCATTTTGGTACTCGTTCGAGTACGGAATGGCCCATATTGTCATGATCAATACCGAAACGGACTTCCCCTCAGCCCCAGATGGACAGGATGGATCAGCCAAACTCAACAGCGGGCCGTTTGGTCGCGATGGCCAACAGCTGGCATTCCTTGAGGCTGACCTCGCCAGTGTCGACCGGACCGTGACACCCTGGGTGATTGTTGCGGGACACAGACCGTGGTACTCGACGGGCTCCAGCTCCAATATCTGCGAGCCCTGTCAGGAAGCATTCGAGGAACTATTCTATAAATACGGCGTTGACCTCGGAGTGTTTGGCCACGTGCATAACTCTCAACGCTTTTTGCCCGTTTACAATAACACTGCGGACCCCAACGGTATGAACGATCCTGCGGCGCCTATGTACATTGTCGCTGGTGGTGCTGGCAACATTGAGGGTCTCAGCTCGGTTGGGTCGAAGCCGTCGTACACCGAATTTGTTTACGCCGATGACTATAGTTACAGCACTCTTCGCATCCTGGACGCAAACAACCTGCAGGTGGACTTCATCCGGTCTTCCACCGGCGAGATTCTCGACTCGAGCAAGCTGTATAAGAGTCACAAGGAGCAGTTTGTTGTTCAGTGAGACATAGCTTACCGATGTTCTCGTCAAGAGTATGAAAAGCTATGAAGTGTGAGAGCATGATTTCTTTTGACGATATGTCGTGACTGTAATTTCACCTCATACACGACTGCAAACTTCTTCTCCTTGGTTCCTTCTTGTTACTTACCTCTTTAAAATGTACACTTGTCCTACTAATACGATTCTATTATTCTGTTGTACATAGTTCTCCGGAGGGTCCTACTGTATGTAAGGAATGAGAACTTTTGAAGAGTAGAGTTATACACATTATGATCTATATCTAACTATTTTCACTCATGGTTTAACCCAATAGGACACCGTCCGTATAAGTATTAACTGAACAAAGCCTGTCCACGATATAGGAAAGATTCGCGACGAACGAATCCAAGACTTTCACAGAGCCGGAACCGCCACGTCGTTCTTACTTCCCTGCCCAGTCTTCTTGACACTCTTCCATTCCAAAAAGCAACTAGCCACGAAGGCTACCAGCGCTAGTGCTAAACTGACGCGATATGCGTCGCGAAGCCCGCTCATATACGCCCTAATCACCGCATCAAGTTGATCCAACTGCCCCAAAGCAGCCAGGACATGTCTCATTTCCGTGGCTCCGGCACCGACAATAGCACGCGGATCCACTGTAGGCGCATACTCGCGGATGCCGTCGATCAATCCGTTCTGAAAGACAGATTGCCCGACGGCGATGAAGAGTGCGCCTCCCAGAGTCTGGAAGAACATTACGGCAGCCGTGCCGACGGGGATGTCTTCGGGTGGGAGGACGGTTTGTACCGCTGTCATGGGGATTTGGAAACCAGCTCCGACTCCTGCTCCGACTAGAATTTGATAGCCAATCCACTTTCCGGTGCTGATGTCCACGGAGTACGTCGTAATAAGGCCCGTGCCAATGGCTGCAATGGCGGTACTACCGATCAGAAATGGGGTATAGTAGCCGGCAGCAGTTACGAATGCACCGACAAGGACGGATGAGATGACGGTCGCCAGCATCAAGGGAAGAAGCTGGATCCCAGATTTCATGGCGGACGATCCTTTCACGCTTTGGAAGAAAATGGGGACATAGTAGACCAGGAGAAAGAATGCACCACCGAAGAACAAGGCGAACATGGTCGCAGATAACACTGACCGTCGCTTCAGGATCCCCGGTGGGAGTGTAGCACGGTCGCCCAACTTGATCTGTGAGAAGGTGAAGATGATGATCATGAGTCCGAAGCCGACAAAGAGCCCAATAACACGCGAGCTATTCCATGGGTATTTATTTCCTCCCCACTGCAGCGCTAGAAGGAGGCACACAATGGCCGGAATGAGAAGACTGGCGCCGATAAGATCTAGCTGTTTGATCCGATCAAGGATGGGCGTCCCGGAAAACTCGCTCTTCTTGGGAACTCGCAGGATAAAGATGATAACAGCAATGGAAAGACCTCCTATGGGAAGACTACAAGCTATTAGATCATTGTGTTCATGGCCCTGTGAATATTGTGTAGCACTTACTTGATATAGAAACACCATCTCCATGACACGCCGTCGGTGAATGCACCTCCGAGTAATGGTCCAGCGATTGAAGCAATCCCCCATACCATGCCAAACATACCAAATACTAGCGGCCTCTTGGGTAGTGGAACTATTCAGGTGAGCTACTGCTATGCGAGGGAGTTGACATTGGTTATCGTACCGGTCATTGATATGATTACCAAAGCCCCAGAGAATATGCCAGCAACGCCAATACCTGCCACAGCTCTGCCAACAATCAAGACGGTGCTACTAGGTGCAACGGCGCAGATGAGTGACCCGATCTCAAAGATGAGAACAGCGATCAGGAAACCCCATTTGACCTGAGCGATTGGATGTCAGCGCCGGGCTCATACAGTTACTCACCCAAATCAACGGCTTACTGACACTAAATATCTTGTAAATCCTGCCGTAGGATGGCTGCAATGCAGTGGATGTCAAGAAATATGCACTGCCATACCAGGCAATGTCCTCGATACTCTTGAACTGGTCGGTGATCTTCGGGATCGCTACGCCAATGATTGTCTGGTCGAGAGCAACGAGAAACACGGCAAGGTAAAGAGCAAGAATGACAACTATAACCTTCGTGATGCTAGGATACTCATTTTCTCTTACTTCCGTGTCGATCTTCTCCGTCGAGCCTTCGATATCCGACTTTTCCTCTACTGCCATCGTGCAATTTCTGCTGTCTTTCAGATTGAGACAAGCAAGGGATGGAATGACAAGTAGTTCAGTTGAAATTATTCGACGAGCAATTATTGCAGCATTGTATTGATATTGTGCTTGGTAGGGGATTTATACACCTAGTCTGCTCAGGTACAAGAACCGCGAGATGTAAGCATACCAGGTGAATGGTGACGAGTCGGACATTCGGGCCTCAATCCGACCGATGAAAACTCTATGAAGATTGCATATGGGGATAACCATTTGGGCAGCACGTCCCGAATACGAGGTCAAAATGACGGGTTGCCCAATCATCCGAGCAGCTCGTTCGGATAGCTTCAAGTTTATTAAGAGTGCGTCCCGTTCTGCAGGATGAGAAAGTCACGTTAAGAGTGAGTCACAAATGTCCGAGAGAATCATAGATGGTCTCTCAACCTCGACTATTCGCCACGTGTGCCTTGGTAGCTTTGGGAGTTAAAACGAGCCAAAGGACGTAGCAATGAACCTACAGAACGCAGGTCACACAGCCACCATGGCGTCAGTGACACTGCTGTCCAGTCCGATGACACATGGGGGATATAGGCATATGCCAAATCTGAAGAATCTAGGAATCGCGACCTTGGAGGCTTAACTAAAGAGGATTTGTCAGGCCCATAGAACGAAGGAAAGCGAAAGAAGCTCGTTTAAGCATTAACTTCCTGTCCCACATAAGAGCCACCGTGTTCTCGTCACTTTACTGGTGGGACCAGTGTCAAAGCGAGCCAAGAGCTCCCAAAATACGAAGCCTCCAAACGGTTCGATATCACCCTCTACCCACACGAGGGGTTACTTCTCATAAATTCCCGAGCTGAATAACGCACCATGCCTTGTATCTGCTGTTCCACTGGTCAGTGACTTAAAGCCAGAAAGGCAGCGCTCCCCATGTGTAGTGACTATAAGGTGGCATCGGTCATGCATACCAGAGAATCCGATGTCGTTGCGCTTCCGACTCTTAGGTCATACAATCAAGGCTGAACCATAATAGAACAAGATCAATCCTAAAGCCGATCCCGGTCGATATTACGGAGAAATGATATATGAAGAATTGCAAGTAGGGTGAGTAGACATTGTTAAATCCTCATTTGCCCTACTACCGGAGAACGAGGCTCTCTGACAACGGAAACGCACTTGTCGATATATCTCAGAGTGCATAATCACATAAACGTCGGCCGGTTACTCTACCACTCTCAATACTTCATCGGTATGAAGCACTCTGCCACTCTTGACTGCTCATTGGATCCATCACGCTGTCTACGCGTGAACCTAAGGAAGATCTGGTTATGGGACTCAGTAGTTGGCTCGCTGTAGTGGTCAGTACTACCTGCTGAGCAGTTACAATTGGTCTCTGCAAGGAACACTCCAAACTCACGCACACGACGATGTTCCGGGATGTGCCCTCCACACGTGGATAAGCCCGATTGGTCATCCTCTATTTCACCCAAAGGCTCCCTGTCGTGCTGCAGAGCAATGACTTGGGCGGAAGCAATCTTATGTTTACATGGCGCATGGGGTAGGTTATAGGAGACTGATGCGGGGCTATCCGATGCCTGTACCTTGTCTTCAAAAGTGGTAGCAGATGGAATCCAGGAGTGCGATTCTGGAACAAGATCTTCTTCAATGTGGATAATCGTTTCAGCAAGCGCAGCCCATGCTGCACACTTGAAGAATGCTTGAACCGGCGGTGCTAGTCGAAGGAGAATCAATGCCTTGCGGCGTAGGAAACAGTCCCGACATTTCACAGCCGTGTAGAACAGTGGTAGTCCTATGCCAGCCTCAAACGTGAATGGAGGTTGTGCACCATCTACCACATTGGATGCATCGAGTGCAGATGTTGCGTGTTTGACGATCTGCCGGAACCGATCCATCTGCGCATCGTACACCATCTCGTTATCTGCTATGCACGTGGAGATCAAGATGGAAGTAACTGCGTGATAAGTCAGCAGCGTTTGCACAGCCCCGACATTTGGAGAATTGGGAGGCGCTCCCATCTCTCGGTCCTTTAGGTGAGCAAAGGCCCTCTCCCAACTGTCCAGCCTGAGCGTAAGAGCACACTGTTGTTCTTCCAAGGACGATGCGTTATTGTCGTCGCATCTCTGACGACCGTAGTATCTACGCGCGTCGTTCCCCAATAGGAAGGCTTCTGTGACTAAGTCAATCATAGCTGTTTGGGCCGCGGTGAGGGTCGCAAAACTTGGACTTCCACGCCCAGTAACAGATCTGACACCCTTCCCCACTGGGTACCCCCCCGAGATCATCGCTGCAGCACCAAGTCGGAAGAATATAGGTGTTATGACCTCCTGCAATACATTTGTATAGTATGGCATGGTTGAAGACTGCTGTAGAGTCATGATGAGATGGACCCCCTGTTCATACAATTGCATGGCCTCCACGACATGACCCTGAAGCGCCTCGATGCAGATGTAGAGGACGCAGGTTATGAGTGCGACATGCGGGTTGAAGTCGTTATATGCAACCCTTTGTCGGACACGTGCCATGGACCGTGAGTACCAGGATACAGCCTTGGTGTGCTTCCCGACCGATGTGGTGCCTTGAAAAACCATGGGAGGGCCAATAAACGGGTCTGGATATTCAAATAGAGCACTGATGGCGACGACAGCGTCCCAAACTGCGGGCTCCGATCGGCATAATTCTGGAACAACGCCCTTCCAGAACCGATGGTCCAAATAACCGCCAATTGCAGGTCCGGCGCGGTGAAAATAGTACTCGAAAGCGCGTCGCTCTTGCCACTCGTGGTCTACGAAGTCGCCAAGGGGATAGCTGCTCTCGATGGACGGCGTCGACCCACGAGGGACGCGCATCTCAGTTTGATTCAAGGCGTATGTGCACCTGCGGCCGGTGCTCTTGCACCGTACACACTGCGGTTTTGTCTCATCACACTTGACCTTACGTATCCTAGTATTGGATGAGATGGGGACAATCAGAACTGTCATTCTAAGCCTGATGAAGGAGGCCACATACTTGCATGTTGTACATCCTGTCCTCGTCTTCACCTTTGCCGACCAACCGGTCCCACGATAATATGCGAAGGCCTCGGCCATTCTCACTAAACTGTTACACTGTGGTTGAATGATCAATGTAAAATTCTACCATGATGATGGGTAGACACCGCGTCTGAGTGTCGAATGTTTCGAGGCGTGTTAAAGATAGCAGAAGCTAAGCTTGATAAGGACAAGCTGCCTGGGTGCCTTATTGGCAATTGGCCCATTCGGAACATGACATCATGCTAGGTGTCGACTAACCCCAAATAGGGATTTTGGTGCTTTGAAGCCATAGAAAGTGCTGTCCATATCAACAGGGGTGATGAGGAATAATGCAAGAAGGTATAGAATATAAGCTGGTTGAAAGGTGAGTGTGGTCCAGCATGACTTCTCTGACACCGATTGTCATTGCATTTGAACATCGTTCAGACAACTCGAACCGTCAATCCAGTAAGTGCTCATATACGCACCAAGAGGGCGTGGATCTAAGCTGAATAACCATACCAGCCTACCTTCGATGCGCTGCTGAGAAGCTGTAAACTCCTCCGCATTAGTGACCATTGAAGACATCATCTCCAGGACCATCAAGCGCGGCTAAGGCGCTATGGCCGAGGACGACAGTGATGGTAATGGGAGCCTCATTGTGGGCATGATCATCCTAGGATCTGCAGTATGCGTCATGATTTATTGTGGGATTCGACAGATGCTGGAGGATCTTCCACGCTATATCATCCGGGACAGGACCCCCGAACAGATTTCGTACATGCGGGAGGTGCGCCAACGGAGCCTTCATCAAGCTTGGTGCAACTCTCAGTCGAAATCCGTCGCCACAGACCCCGAGCGATGAAAGGGCCCGTGCGGGAGATGTGGTAGTATATGCGCGATCTTATGGAGAGGGTTTGCTATGGTATGCATGGTGACAATCAGTGGTGCTCTACGAGATAACGGAGGGAATAATTCTGATCCATTTGATATATCACCCATTTGCACAAGGGGTTGTCATGTTGCAAAGTCCTGGTTCTTGGCAGGCTTAGGGTGTAGATGAGATGTGCATAGCAACACGAAACATATTCTGTACAGTGTACCATTGCATAGCATTGCTCGGCTGGCATTCTTCTTCCTATCAACATTCCTCTTGTCCATGCCAACCGACAGCTCCACACATGAAACATGCCCATTTCGAGTGGCCTAAGGTAGAGAGCTGTTTTACCAGCGACTTGGGTCAATCGCAACAACCGCGTGTGGATCGAACAAGATCTTCCGAATGGTCTCATGACCAGTTCGAGACACCCAATCCAGTGGTAGCTCAACCCCGCGGCCTACTGGATCCACTTCTATCTTCCCATTTCAGGGGGGTGGTGGGGAGGGAGATCTAAGCGATCACCAACGCTAGTGTGAGACGCTCAGTCCCAGCTGCTATATACCCCTCATCCTTCTCCACGCCTCGGATCCACTACGGAGTCAATACTCCTCATTGCGCCAGCCTTTCCAGTGATGGTATATTGTAGCGGTGTTGGCTATGAGTACTCACCAAGGGGAATGGACCACAATATGCTGGGTGTTCTAGGTCATGCATACGCACAACAACTTGCTCTACTTGCAGACATTACAGCTGCAATGTCTTTCGACAAGTGAGGAATCCACCCTCCCAAGATCGGCCTTACCACTTCTGTTAATTCATCCCATCTCTACCCTGGAAACTCCGACTACCATACACCAAATTCAAAATAGTGTATACGTAGGTATAGAATGACATTCTTCCCACCAGCTCTCCTGTGTCCAAGTATGCCGCATCCGGTGGAGAATTACGGTCTTGTCGATCGGTGTGAGTGAGTGAGGAGGACTGCGTGCCAAGAGCAGTAGGGGCCATTAGCAAAGAAGCCGTGAAAAAAAAAAAAAAAAAAAAAAGGAAAAATTGAGATCTGAGGGGCCTTTTATAATGGGAGCAAGCGGACGGTCGAACTTTGTGCCTGATTCGCTCCCCGAACCATCAAGAGATCTGTCTCTATTGGTTAGGCATCATCAAACTTTGGTTACATACATCTATCCTATCAGGCCTGAGGATCCCCCCAGCTCTGGTGATCAGTCAAACTAGACAGGACCGACTGAGTTAAACCAGAACTCTGGAACCAAGGTCCGAATCCCAGCATCTGCTTGGATTGGATCAGATCATCATTTCGGAAATGGCTATCCCGAACAGTTTGTCGCTCCACGACTAGTCAATGCACGAGGCCCAATGGAAGATCAGATTCTGTACAAAGGGAAGAGCATAGCGATGATCCTCCTCGAAGATGGTTAGTTATACTTAGCCTTCAATAGTGGCATCTCGCCCTTGAGTTGGGTTCTCCCCCTTTTTCACCCAGCGCGATCCCCAAGGGTACATTTTTGCTTGTCAGGATCTCCAAAATGTCCTGCTAGGCTTGTCATAAACTTCCGGTCCAGTAAATGACACGTCAGAAGGTCTCCACCTTGCATTGTAAGCGCACCATAGCAACAGTATAACTCCGGGCAAAAATCGGGGGATTTGTTTCTGACGGGTCGCCCCCAAAGGGAACCCACAGAACAGTAAATGTCAAATGCGAGGACGAAACACGGAACTGAACTCGTAGAAGGGAGGGAGGGAGAGAGCAAGTATATGAAGAAGATCTAGATCTTTAATTTGAATTCATTGTCACATGTGGCCCAAGCCCCAATAGCATGTCGTTCCAAGTGCACGACGTGACAAAAGCAAAGACGCAAAAAAAGCCAATCTATGTTTATCAATCGCATGGCTTACGCCGAGGAAGTCCGGAACTTGGTCCCTGCTCGTATTATTGGAGGGACCTCCTTGCGTGGTGATGTGCTACAGTAGTTAGGGTTACATCCCAGCAAGGACGGGCCGAAGTCAATGCGTCAACAGTGGAGGCAACCCCGTTCGCCACCCGTGCTCTTAAAACATATTTATCCCTTGGCTCCTATACGAAAAGTGTGCTTCTCGCACTTTGAAATGAAGGCAACATGAATCTTCCGTGCAATCACAGTGATTGGGGTTTCCACCAGAAATCCCCGACGGTGACGGTGGAGGGTTCATACAGGCTGTGATGGACGATCCTCAGCCATGGCTACAAACAGCGAATCGAGTGCTCATCGGGGTCGGTTTGGCTATTAACACTCCTCTTCTGGTAATGCGAATCTATACTAAGATTCGTCTAATGAGAAAATTTTGGTGGGATGACGGTAAGTCAATAGTAATCTTGAAGCCAATGAAGCTTCTTTTGAGGGCATAGTTAACGGATAGCGGCCAGTATGCTTGATTCTTGCTTGGGTATATTCCGTCGAAATGTCCTGGTTACGCATCAACCTGTACTGACCTGCAACTAGATGTTTTCTCTAGGGACGCAAGCGGTCATTCTATGTAAGACATCTCTCAGGGGACATAGTATGCGGTCACTAAGATCATTCTAGATGGGTTCGGACATGCAGGCTATGGCATCCATGCTTCGCAACTCCCGCTGTCAGTGTTGAGCACGTATCGCAAGGTATATTTAATATAGTCCACATGCAACGTGAACTGAGCCTGGCTTGCTAATCGCCCGGCTTTCCCTGGTTTAGTGTATGCTGGCGGCATCGACTATATACGTTCCCGCTCTCGCCTTTGCGAAGCTCGCCTTGCTTATGCTCTATTATCGACTCCTACAGGCGACGCACCCACGATACATATACGCGATATATGCGGTCGGCTTCATCATTGCAAGCTATAGCATTGCACTTTCCTTAGCGTTGATCTTCGGCTGCAGCCCTATTCAAAAGAGCTGGGACGTGACTGTGACAGGCTCCTGCATCAACATAAGCGGAGTTTATCTTGCAACTGCTATCACGAACACGATCAGTGATGTTACATTGATGCTGCTTCCGATCCCCATTGTATGGGGTCTCCGGCTACCTGTCATCCAGAAAATAGGAGTGCTCTGCATGTTTGGTGTTGGATTTTTGTGAGTGACCTTCTCCTTCCATCCAGCATGTGTAAAGGCAGCCGACAACTTTCTCGCGATACATAGCGGCCTCACTGAACCAGTCCTGTTGTTGTGATTCTTACCTCGCTCCTATAGAACCACCAGTATAAGTATCGTTCGCTTAGCAACGCTGATGCCTCTGGTCACGTCGCAAGATCAGACGCATGATATCGCTTTAGCAGCTATCTTCATGTGAGTCCAAGATGCCATTCTCAATCATTCCCTTCGTTGGTTTTGCTGCATATTCGGATCGGACTGATGGATCTCACTCTGTGTAGCAATATTGAAGCCAACACCATTATCATATGCGGTTCTTTCCCCTATTTACGTCAATTCCTGCGATACCATGCTCCGCGGTGGATCGATTATAGCCTGAGCTCGCGACGGAAATACTCCTCGACAGAGTCGCCATCGGCTCCCGTGCGGAAGCCTGGTCTCACTCAACTCCAGGATGATATTGAAAGGGCGGTCAATCATACGGATGGGATGGCGAGCGTGGAAGGAAATATCGAACGGGGACCCAGAGAAGTACTATAGCATTCGTTCGAGTGCATAAAAACGTACGGTCTAGCTGGGTTCAGAAGTACTACTCGCAGATTTCTAATAGCGTAGGGGACGTTGATATTGGGGGAAATAGTTTTCGGGCATCTATTTTAATACTCGATTATTTACTCTTCCAAGTTTCCCGCGGTGTCACTGGCCTGTTCTATTTTTCCTCAAGATGGTGGGCTAAGGTCTCCAACAACGTCACAACGCGCGCCCATTGCCGCTCAAAATCCATGGAACTTTCTGCAGGACTCCGTGGCTCAGTGCCTCGTAATGATACCGGATTCCTCCAGCCGAGATGTAAAGTCTACACTCACATCCGGAAGATAATCAAAGTCGCATGTATAGACCGCGCCAAGCGGAAGGCAGGGCCATATGTGCGTACAATTCAAATAAAAGCCCAGGGTTATTCTCCGCTGCTGTCTCTATTCCAAAAAGTAACTGCGCCTCCGGATACAACGGAAATATCCTGTTCGCCTGCTTCTGCCTATAATCCTACAATCGTAACCGGACCGACGGCCATATTGCCACCTGAGCTGTCACATCTCTCAAACACACGGTCGGGATCCACGCCGCGCACCCAGGCCAGCACACATTCGTATTCGTCCACTTAAGTTGGGTACCGCCATTCGGGGGGGCTATATATGACTCCACCAAATTCCTTGAACTCTGTCCGCGACCGTGCCGACCGAGTATCAACCTCCGTGGCGATAGATGAGCGTGAGGCTGTGTTGCGACGATAAATCTCGGGAAGGATAGAGAATATGGATTGGAATACACAGTAGTGCTGTGGGTTTGCGGATGGCTATAAGTTCAGCTTGAGCAATAGATGCTGAACAGAGAAGCCAAAGAGTTCGGTGTGGATTTGTTGTTCGTCGAGAAGGTCAGATCCGCCAAGGTGTAGGAAGGGACGATTGGAAAGGAAAGCCTGGATCTCGCATCAAGAGAGGTTATGGGCAGTCATTTTTCTATGTGTCAGTATATCTATTCAGCTGTTTGTCTAGAAGGTGAATATGATGAAAATAGGTCTAGATGTGCAAGAACGTGTAATGTACACCGTAGTGCAAGCCACGCTATGTCGCAAGGCCAATCATAGATTCCGAAAGCTGGACAATTAGTGGGCTATGGTCGATGTTCATGTCATTGTGAGGTACCCGGTTGGTATACATATGCAACGAGACCTCCTAGTAGAGAAATCCTCCACTCGACTTGAAAGTAAATGTATACCACTGCTATCGAAGTCCTCACAAGTCGAGGAAGAAGAATCTAAAAGACAATTGACGTCACCTGATATCACACGGTGGCTTCCTCTCTAAACGGACTAGTGGCAGGGATATCATTTCTCCGGGTTCTCGGATATCATAACAACTTCCGATAACTATACGACCTTCGCATGATCGCCACCAAGGGCGAATTTCCAAAGTATACAAAGTCATACGTGAACGATGGGGCTAACTGTCCACATTTCAGTCGTCTGTCCACAGTTCCAGCAGTTGTTCCCCACCATCGTTCTAACACACTCTCGCACGGACAACCGTTAGATATGAGCACGATGATCAAGCTAACTTACTCCCATCGTGAGAGAGAGACAAATCCACATAATCTACATATCTTCTCACTGATACACTTCTTCTTCGAACCTCTTTCCGGGATCATACCCGTCAATGCCGCTTGCCGGAAAAGCCGAGCACCAGACTCCGCTGTCCCGCTGTCTTCGGCCCCTGTACTGCATCCACAATCTACTCCAGCACCCAGCTATTCATGCGCCGCTTCTAATTCTGATTAGCAAACTTGAAATCGATCTCGTGTCGCAGTTGATCTTCATACCTGTCGATGGCTAGGAAGTCAGCGGCGTGTGTAGCCCAGGCAGAAATGATGTTCCCAGGGCCATGTCCATACTGTTGTTGCCGTGCATCTCAGGATGCCTAAACTGTGTGTCCCTTCAGCTTCTGGGGTCCCAAAACCCCTCTCATACGTCATACAGCCCATCTCTCTGTGACAACCCGTCGTTATAAATTACTGTTTCATCGATCTTCTAAGGAGAGGCTTGCTTCGACTTCCAATGAGGATGCCCGTAATCCACACTCAAGGACAGGGGCAAGTCCACAGATACATTACGTAGGAGTGTGATGGAATATTCTAGTAGATCAAAAGTTTATTGCGTTCAAGCTTTGGGTATCAGGGATATTATTGCTATGGATAGGATCATTACCAAGCCACTCATCTCAAGATGCGTTCCATATGCACAATGAGTGATGTTAATTTGGCACAAACATACTTCGTGCCCAGGTACCCAAATGACGGCAGTGAACGTAATTTTGCTTCACCCCTAGACTCCTTTCTCTGGTTTTATGCTCCCACTTGACTCTCAGAATTATCGTCAATCGAAAGGCAAACTTTCAATTCTATACTGGATCCTATGAACTTTCTACGTCATCAGAATCGTTAATGGTTGTTTTTTCGGTCTCATCTAGGGCTAACACCCTTGTGCTCAGCCCTAACAACCTCCCTCGACCCAAGGCTCCATCCAAACCAATTAATATTGTCGATCGCTTGTTCTCGGTCTCGCTATTGTTCTGATTGGGCCCGGTCGGATATGTCCAGCCTGTAACAGCCCATACCATTTAACTGGCTTGCCTGGCCGATCGACCCATGGAACCTCGATCTGCCCTGCGGTCATAGGCATCCACGCTGTCTACATCTTGCAAAAGCATATCACGCACTTCTCCATTTTCCATGTTACACCAGTAAAGCCATGAAATGTGCCTTTGACGAGTTTATGCTTCACTTTATATAAGCCTCGTTGTATCCTCCCACGAGAGAACCATGTTACAGCCATTGATTCAATAGCGAAAACCAACTCTCGTCGGATTTCACCAGATGCCATGAAACCGCAATCGAAAACACTTTACCACCTGCGCCCGAAGCTTGACGAGATCCTTAACGATACAGCCCCCGTCCCGTATACCCTCGGCACCTTCATTGCCTTCCTTGCTCAAAACCACTGTCTCGAAGTTCTCGAATTTATCCTTGAGGCCAAACGCTACCGGAAAACATACGACTGGCTTCAAGACCATGGCAAGAAATGCGGGGAGGATGAAGCCCACGAGGAGCGCTTGCGACGAGTATGGGATCGTATCATAGAGACATACATTGAATCCGGCGCACCGCGCGAGATCAATGTGCCAAATGAAACCCGTGAGGAGTTATTGTCGTACACCAAAACCTACGGCTCTGTACCCCCACCGAATCTCCTCGATAGTGCCGTTCAACACATGCACGAATTACTACGAGACTCGATCCTCATCCCCTATCTCCGGAGCTGCTCGGGCACCGCCCATGTCCAGCCGCTATCAGTGCCATGCCTCAGTGGCACTGAGCGACTATCCCCTAGCCCCAGGGCTTCTGATGACACCGCGCGCCGGAGGTCGAAGTTCAATGGCCTCATTCCATCTTCCCCCGCAGATATGGGTTTCTCCGATGGATCAGAACCGCCAACGAGGTGTATATCACGGGAGACCAGCTCCCAAGAACCACCTGGCTCGTCCTGTTCCGACACTGGTCGTCTGGTCACCGGTGGTCAAAATTGGGACGTTGTGCCGAATGGTGAAGGAACGGAGATGTCGCACGCAATTACTGCGCCGGAGAGGAAGACACGCTCCCCAGAGTCGCCTAATAAGAAAAGATGGCGCCGTTTACAGGGATTTGCAAAGCATTTTCGGCGTTCTTCTGATTAAGCCATCTATATTTAATCGCCATCTATGCCAGCCTGTTGAATTGCTATTCATGTTCAGTTTTAGTTCGGCCCCCTAACAAATACCCTAGTATGCCTACAGCTGGTTATCTTCTAATGTACGTGGAGAAACTAGATAAGCAATCCTTCGAGAGATTGCTTCCTATGAAGAGAATATACGTCTCATGTTCCACATAGAAAACCATATTTTTGTTTGGGGTATCATAGAACCAAAGTATGGACGATTGAAACTCAATGATCTCATGCCAAGTCAGCGAAGACGTAGTGACCCAAAATTGATCCAATGAATAGCTCTCCCAATTGTAGATCACACTTCTATAACCACGGGTCCTATGACCAAAGCCATCACCTCGCCATGAGGTATCCATGACTTCACCCTTTTCCATCCATAAGGCTGCTCAAACCATGGCTGCTCTCCACTCAACGCCAATGTAACTTTAACTGACCTGATGTATTGGACATTGAACAACCCTCGAACGACTAAAAGCTCCAAAAGTAGAAAGTATTGAAAGCGTGAGTTTTGTTCATGAGCCTTCGAATTCTAATTCAGTCTGTGTTCTTTCTGCTCTGTTTGTTCTTTTAGGATGGGGGTGCGACCGGGTGTCAATACATCCAGATACATCTACCGAAGAAAGTGGCTTGAAAGGAAAAAAACAGTAGGATGTCATTGAGACTTCTTTCTCAGTTGTAGGGTTCGGTCTAGCTTCATGTGATGTCACCAGTCCTCAGTCGACCAATCAGAACAAAGCCAGCGTTGCCCACGTGATACCTTTCATGCACTCTTCCGGAGGGAAAGAAAACGCTGTACGGTATAGAAAATGAAATGAGACAATTGTATAGCGTATTCATAGAGATTTTACTTGAAATCCTGCCGAACAGTGCCAAGAAGGTGGGAAAGGAAGTTGTTACGGAGCGATGCCTATTCATGAGTGTGCAATGATATATTTTCCCTTAGACTTGACTACTATATACTCTACACTCCAGGGATCAGCGCCAATGCATACTAGTAGTATCGACCTGCAGCTACGGAGTTACTACATTATAGCACACATACTACAGTATACACAGAAGCTTCTTATAAAGTGAAATAGTCACCCCCGGTATTCTTTTCTTTGTTGTGCGGTTATACATGGAAACCGAGTTCTTTGTTAGGGTAATCCTTCAGCCTTGACGTTCACCCGGACGAAAATATTTAGGGAACCTGTTTTATAATGGCAGGGCTATATATCTCCGCCGTTACATCCAACAAGCACCCCAAAACAAGGTCTCGAGTCAAATAATACTAAAAAAAAAACGCGACACGCTTACCATTCTCCCGTGGAAGGGACAAAAAGAAACAAAAGATGGCTCCTCATGTAATCGTTTTCGATCTTCTCACAGCTCTCCTGGACAGTTGGTCCTTATGGGCCGAAGCCGCCAACAATGACCGCAAAGCGTCATACCGATGGCGCACAAGATATCTGGAGTTGACCTTTGGATGCGGCGCATACCGTCCCTATGAAGATCTCGTCTATGAATCAGCCAAGGATGCCGGCCTCCCGGATAGTGTACCCAAAGCCCTGATCGAGAATTGGGATCAGATGCGCCCTTGGCCCGAGACTAAAGATGTCCTGCTGCGGCTGAAAGAGAAAGGATACCGCTTGGGAGTCGTCTCCAACTGTTCAGTTGAACTCGGCCGGCGAGCCGTTGCGTTGTGTGGTGTGGACTTCGATGCGTTCGTGACGGCGGAAGAAGCCGGCTTCTATAAACCTCATCCGAAAGCATACGGTACGATCCTATCGGCCTTGGGGGTGCAGCCCAGTGATGCCCTGTTTGTCGCGGGCAGTAATGGGGATGTTGTCGGTGCAGCAGTGGCCGGTATGGATGTTGTTTGGCATAATCAAATTGGTCTCCCAAGACTCCCCGGCTCTAAGCCGCGCCTTGAAGGTCGCTCTTTACATGTCGTTCTAGATCACCTCAGCCAGGTGGAGTCGACCTCGATTACGTCCAGCCGGCCATCGTCGCGACTTTAGACTTTGGGTGAGAAACTCGATGTATTGCACATGAATCCTAGCCGATTGGAAGCTGGACTGCATTTATGCAATAGCCCTTGGCGAGAATGTGGGGAACGCGGAAACTTCAGCACGACCGTGGAAAGGGCAATATCAACCCCGTGTAGGAAATGAGATATAATGAGTTCATGAAGGGCTCGTGGCGGTAATATCCTGCCCTTATCGTTGCAGAGCCTTTGAAGTGTATGTACACATTTAGTATGTTACAAGTGTCTAAATACTTTCCTTTCCGTTCAGACATGTCCACAATGTTAGTTCTGCGCTATAGAGATGCATACTCAACTGAGTATCGCATCGAAGCTAGATAGGGGGACCATTTTCAAGCCTTCAAACAGAAGTTAAGAATAGTTGCATATTGGTATCACAAGTATCAAGAGATAAACAACTCAAAAATCACTGCAGCTTCACAGCCGCTCGCTTGTTGATGGTGACCCACATATCCCGCCAAAAGCCGATCCCACCTTTGACTTCGAACCTCGCAGATGGCTTTTCAGTCGCAATAGAGGGGGTGTACCGACGGAAAAACTGAAGGATCATGATATTAGCAAGAGTGGCAGCGAAGGGAGGGAAGGGAGGGAAGCCTCATCAACGTACCTGCAGTGGGCCCTTGAACAATTCTTCCATCGCAATATCCCTACCCAGACAGACTCTGGTACCATATCCGAAGGTGAAAATATACTTATTGTACAACTTCGCCTTTTCCGCGTCGAGCCATCTCTCCGGACGGAACTCCTCTGCATCATCTCCAAAAAGCGCCGTGTCACGGTGCATGATCCATGGGTTGCCGGTAACCTCTGTTCCGGCTGGAGCAAACTTCCCAAAAAGCTCGACGCCTGGTTCCGACACATAACGAGGGAAGATATTCGGTGCCGGTGGGTTCAGTCGTAACGTTTCCCGGACACATGCGACATAGTATGGAAGATGCTCCTGGATAGCGTCGTACTGGGGGATAGATTCGGGGATGAGTCCCTTACGACTGGCCGTGTCGATCTCCTCCATCATCCGCTCGTAGACCTCCTGGTTGACGAGCAGGTGGTTGACAAGGGACTGGAAAACTGTGCCAGTAGTATCGGCACCGGCCAGCAGAACCAGCAAGACTTCGGCCTTCAGATACTCCATGTCAAGGGGCTTGCCGTCCTCCGTGCGTGCATCGATGAACGTTTGCAGGAGATCCACACGACCAACATCTTTACCTTCAGCGATCTCACGTAAGCGTTGCTCAATTAGTCGATCTCGAAAGCGCATCAGCACACCGATACCGGTGTTATCTTCAGGCTTCGCAACTAGATATTTCTTCATGAACGTTGTCTTCACCCAGCTCGTAAAGGGGTGCAGGCGCGCGAGGAGACCAAACGCAGGCAGGCCGTCGTGGAAGCCCTGGATGAGACCTCCAACATCTTTGCCCTGTTCGATAAAACCGAATGGCGCTCCAAAGCCGATTTCACTGATAACATCGTATGCGACGTATCTATCAATTCCCAGATGTTTCTGTTAGTGCGATTATGCGCGGGCCGTGTTTGGGGTATGGATGACTCTTACACTGCCCACCATGAAAAATCGAATTCTGCACCAGTGCTGGCAAAGGTCTCGCCCAGTTTGTTCAACCAATCTTCGATCCGGGCGTCAATCAATGGTTCCATCCGCTTTACGTTTGAGAAACTATACTATTTGGGTTATCAGCTCGGGATTTGTTGGTCCGGATTGAAATGCATGATGATACATACAGGACCCGCAATGTGCTTGCGAAACGCCGCATGAGTCTTGTGTGACCGAATGTTGAACAGTGATTCGGTCTCTCCGAACGACCCGGTGATATAGTGACCCGTTTTGTCTGCATTCCGGTGGTAGATGTCTGGCAGCTTCGTGGGGTCACTGACAAGAAGGAGCGTTGGGGTAACTCGTACGACGGGTCCTGCAAGCCATACGCACATTAGCTCGATGAATATGCTGCAGCTGAGACTTGAAGGATCATACCGTATCTCTTGGTCAGTGCATAGACTGTAGGTACTTCGGTCTCACGTAGATTATGCCATGCGATCCAAAGTCTGGTTACGCTGCCCCAGAAAGGGCCCGGAAATACGGACAAGGGATGGAAAAAACGATAGTACACAATCTGATAAGCGAATCGGAGGGCAACATATGCCCCCAAGGCGAGGATGACGTGGGTTACGGTGAACATTGAGACCAGGTCCTCCCCTGTAAGAACCATTATCACGACCCTGGTCCACGAACAAAAATGCAAAAGACGCAGGATCAGAACCAAAAAAGGAAAACAAAAGAAAAAAAAAGAAACTAAATCTCGACAGGGATTCCTTGTTCCCTAGCACAGCTTATGCCAGAAATACCCGGCGATTGCTGTGGAAACTATGCATCATTTCACATGAGTTATGTTGGACTTTTTGCGGTCCACCCCAAACCGATGCAGAGAGAGCGAATAGCCGTGCATTTGGACATAATCTCACCACCACTTCCTAGCGATGATCATCCTTAGGGGAGGGGAGAAACACCAACGTGTTTGATTAGAAAATGCCTAAGAAAGCTAACTCAACTATTCTGAGGGGTTGCTCTGGGAAACTTTTCCGCCACTTGCTCGCCAATCATGATCGTTCTATACCAAGTACTTCTCGAAAAGCCGGGAATTATTGGCTCGAGTTATGGGCTCAAGTGCCGGGGGAAATTCGACTGGACAATATAGATCCACCCGCCTCATAACCATAGCTAACGCGCCGTCGCTCTAGTGCGGAAGGCCGAGCGTTTTAGGGCGTACTGGACCTCGGTGCGCGGAGGCTGATAGGCCCCGGGGGTTTGAAGCCGTTTCAGACTCTCAGAAAGCAATTCTTCTGGATCATCCGGAGTACAACAAGGATACTGATCCCCTATTGATAACATTTATTTAGCGGTGATTTTGATGCCTGTCTCCTGCGGGTACAAGCCTCAAACGCCTCATCAGTATTGGAATCTGCCTTAAAAAAAGTCTTAATAGAAAAGGCTCTTTCTTAACTGACAGGGCGTGCTTCAAGGATCCACAGTTGGTCCACCACCGGGAACTGCGACGACATCGGCTCTCTCTGTCTTTAGGTGGGGACGCGCCGTCAAGCTAAAGATGTTTGTCGCTACGGGAGGACTTCCGCGGTCCTATCCCCTTCGATTCTACTCCGTATGAAGCTCGGCTGCATCGGTGGCACCCACCAGTGTCAACTTTGATACTTCGGAACTAACAAGCGAGAGATGGCAAAAAAAATCTGGTTCTCGCCCGTGTGATAGATCCACAACGTCCGTATTATACAATAATCTAGAATGTAACATGACCTGACTTGACTTGGTACACCAAATCCCGATCGCTGGTGACAGGGAAATGCAACTACTTGATCACATTGATTTAATGCATCTGAGACGCAGGTAAGACGTAATTTGCTTGTCAGAGAGGGGACAGACCAAGAAAACAAAAACAATTTTTTTTTTTTAAAAAAAAATAAATAAATAAATAAATAATTTAAATTAAAAGGGAACAGTAAAAAATACCGAAGGATGAAACTACAGCTTAGCAGAAGGTGAAAAGTGGGGAGTTTACGAACTTCCGATTAGGCGAAAGGACTGACGAGAAAAAAAATAAAATAAAATAAGGTAACAAACACACCCTAATAGGAAATAAACGAGAGAAAAATAGGAGAAAATAGAAGTATTCCAAAACATTTCGAGAAGGGACGATAATCCAAGGGACAAATTGAAAGTCGTCGATGCCACCAGTTCCGTATAGCCTCAACCTTCCAATTCTGGGCACATCCGTCTCACTTCCCATTGGGAAATTATTATAAGAAGGCGCTACGTACTTACCTTCCAAAGCTCTACCGAAGCTTTACCGATGAATTGTCCGTGCAGGATTCTGTTTGTGTACCTACTACGGCCACAAAGCACAGATTCACAATGTCATCCGGGGAGAGGGGCGATATCGAGTCATTAGTGACCCCAGACGAACGTAGTCGTAGTGGTACCGGCTGAAAGATTGAATCATTGGTCCTGTAGACATAGTACATACGAAGTACTGTATAGTTATACTACTACAGAAAGCTACACAGCTTAGTGTCTCTGCACCAAAATAGTAACAAACATCACCTTTGAAAGCGGAGGACGGAGATAAGCTGGTTTCATATTCCATCTTTCGCCACTGGAACGAGTGGAGATTGACATCTCGAACAGTCATCTTGCATCCTCCTTTCGGACAACATGCCGACGGAGTAATTCGGTGATATAGTCATCAATACTGTTTCGATTACTTCGTACCTTAATTTCCTTTCTCGGGAAAAGGGGGGTGAACCCCGTGGGACAAACACTTCTAGTGTATCCATGGAGGAACTGGGGAATGATAGCCAGGCTAATATGTAGGGGAAGGAGTGAAGCCCGCGTTCATTCCCAATTGCTCCTATTCAGGAAATACTGTCGCCCATCGGGGCCAAGTTTGACTTGGCATGCAGCATTTCACGAGGAAGACCAGTCATATTGATATATAAAATACCGTCCTCTATAGGTCATACCCGCCATGTGGCGATCAAAATTGTTAGCGTCTCGCTTTGATCGTCCGCCATGATTTAGGTTCACCGATGCAGTACCACTCCTTTGGACTGCACCCTAGTGTTTAATAGTGGAGTGGGAGACCACAGAGAGGGAGGAAAGAAAAGAAGAACGGAAAGACCTCATAAAGACGGCCCCTGGGAGTGCCAGAGATTTTAAATGACTGACTGCTAGTCGTTCGTTCATCACCAGCATTGGGTTCGCAGTTACAGCAATGGCGGGTGATTCAAAAGGTCCAACAGTGATCGCGATTGCGGTCACTTTTGCAGTCTGGACCTTCATCATTATGTGTCTGCGGCTCTTCTCGCGCATCTTTGTTCTACAGAAGATGGGATTCGACGATTGTGAGTACAGCTTGACCTGGAGGAAATGGAAGGTGATGGCTAAACATTCCTAGATATGATTGTCTGTGCTTGTGTAAGGAGATCGAGTTCCATATATCTAAAAGCTGTCGCTCACATTAACTAGCTGACATCATGGGCCTTTTCTGCCGTAACGGTCGTGTGTAAGTATGCGCCAGTCTCGAGATTTCGACGACACTAACACTGTTATCCAGCGGTGAAGTATGGGTTAGGTTCCCATATCGGGGATGTCGATCCGAACAAAATGGAGACTTACTCCCTGGTATATTCCCAACCGCTGGGTGGTTTCGAAGATGTTCTCTGACCGTTTGCCAGATGGTTTGGGTAAGCTCGATGTGTTACTTGGCCACATTGGGCTTCGTCAAGTCGTCCGTTTGTCTGTTCTATACTCGGCTCGGCGATCGACTTCTTACTCGGCTCTCGATGTGCATGTTAGGCGTAATTATTGCACAGGCTTCGTCGTTTGTGCTAGTGGCAGCATTTCAATGCCGACCTATTGAAAAGGCTTGGAAAAGCACGATGCCGGGGACGTGCGTCAGCATCAACGTCTTCTACCTTGCGAACGCGGCCCTCAATATCTTGACCGACGTCATGACATATAGCCTGCCCCTCCGAGTTATATTCAAGCTCCAGGTGCCGGCCAAGCAAAAGGTTGCACTGGGGTTCATCCTCTGCATCGGGTTGTTGTAAGTCCCTAATCTCTGACACAACACAATGTGGATATGCCCTGACATGATGACTCGTCGATCTATAGTGCCTGCGTCGCATCAATCATTCGCATTACCTACATTCCTGCCATGTTGTCCGATCCAGATGCTACGTGGGTGATTGCCGAGGCAATGTATTGGTCTGTGATCGAGATCAATGTCGGTATTTTCGCCTCCTCCATCCCCTCGTTCAAGGCGATTGCCTCCCGCTTTATTCCCAGACTTATCGGAGAGTATTCTGGCGACAAAGGGTACAGTGGGTGGTCCAGTAGCTACGACGCCAAGAAGTTTTCCGGATTTTCCAAAGTCCCAGAGCAAAACATTGGCCTGGACTCTATGGATCCTCGACAGCCGGACGGGGATAACCTGATTGGCACGCAGATAGGGTACGCAGGGGCGCAGAGTCAGGAACGGATCATCCCTGACGGCAAGATCTATGCACATACGGAGATCGAAACTAATGTGGAGGTCAGTCGAGATATATCTAGTCGAACCCTCTCCCATTCCCCTTGAAGGGATTCGCAATATTTCATTTTCCATGGAGATATCCTTCGACCTTATTGATATGATCCTAATTTCTACGAATCGTCGCTCTTTTGATTCCCTAAAGCATATGTATTATACTATAGACTCTCTTCGCATTTTCCTTTCTATTTATTTCCATTTCCTCTTTTTATTCTCTGGTTTCATGGAAAGGGGGCATAGCGATTGAGTTTAAGTTTAACGATGAATGACCATACCGATTAATTTTCGATCGATAACTTTATCACACGAAAGAAAATGTATGGAATGCGTGATTAAAACAAAATTACCACAAGAATCAGAAAGATGTGGATTAGGGATATGAGATCAGGTGCTCGGAAAAGAATCGAGGGGAATTTCCGACAGTCGGGACTTCCGAGAAGCAACAACAACAACATTTGTCTTTCTCACTGCCGGGATTTCGGCAAATCTCCCCTTCAACCTAGCTATATATTGGTAAGCTCATATACCTTTCGATGTCTATTAGGCAAAGGAACTAGAAAGGTCTTGTGACCAGCTTGACCGGGTTCCACTTCTGAACTGGCACCAACACACTTTGTCCAGGATGCTAAAGATATGGAGAACAACCATGACCATTTCTTTTACTTTGAGAAGATAGTACTGGTCCCAAGTTGCAAGTCACAGATGCCCCTTTTCCCCAGTAATCGCTGAACGGAATGGGTCCGGCTATACTCTTTCCCATCCCAATGCTCCCTTTTCACCCCATGAGCATGTCTCCACAAATCTCCACAAGAAGACCAGAACCCCGTGGGACCCCGCGTCTTGAAAGAACAATTATGAATGAATTATGCGAATTCCATACAGTAATATCTGTCACGCTACTTGGATCGAGACGGAAATTGATACCTGTGGGCCCATCTAAATACCATGATTGGAGAGACTCTGGGTTTAATCCCCACAGCCTAATGCTTAGCTACTGGGGTTGAGGATGCTGTGTATGTCACCATAGTGGATGGAAATCATAGTGGTTGGATTCCGGACTAAGTGTGACGGGGCACGGCTTAAAAGACAACCCCTACACCCAAGATGCAAGTGAGCTTGTCATTCCTACGTGTCTATCTCTGGGGCGAAAATGAGGCCGGCACTTAACTTCCTCGCGGCAGCAGCCACTCTCACAGTGGCACAGGCTACTACCCTTAGTGATGTTTGCACGAACAGCCATGTCAAGTCGGCTCTGCCCTCTACTGACCTCATTAACGGTCTCCTAATTGATTCATCTTCTATTACCACCAATGCTGTCTACAATGCTTCTACTCCTGGGGGTGACTATTTCCCAGCAGCATCCGCTTATGATTTCTGCAACGTGACTCTCACGTACGCCCACCCTGGACGCAACGACCGGGTTCATCTTAAACTGTGGATGCCAGCTCCGGACCAGTTCCAAAACCGGTGGCTATCCACTGGAGGAGGTGGTTTCGCGATCAATCACGACGAACAGCAGCTTCCAGGCGGTGTCCAATATGGCGCCGCGGCTGGCATCACTGACGGCGGTTTCGGCAGCTTTTCCACCCAGTTTGACCAAGTGTTCCTTCTGGCCAATGGCACAATCAACTACGAAGCACTGTATATGTTTGGATATCAGGCGCACCATGAGCTGAGCATCATCGGAAAGGCTTTGACAAAGAACTTTTACGGCACGGGCAACACAAAACTGTATGCCTACTGGCAGGGATGTTCCGAGGGTGGTCGCGAGGGATTCAGCCAGGTGCAGCGATTCCAGGAGTTCGACGGCGCAGTGATCGGCGCCCCAGCCCTTCGCTATGGTCAACAACAGGCCAATCATCTCTACGCAAATGTGGTTGAGCATACTCTCAAGTACTACCCTCCTCCCTGTGAATTGGAGAAGATCGTGAATTTGACTATTGCGGCATGCGATCGACTGGACGGAAGGGCTGACGGTGTGGTGTCCCGGACCGACCTGTGCAAGCTGCATTTTAATATCAATTCAACGATTGGAGCACCTTACTCCTGCCCAGCCTCGACGACAACGTCTGGTATAACCCCTGCGCAGAACGGAACCGTGTCTGCGCTCGGCGCTGCAGCAGCCAGAAAGATGTTGGATGGCCTTCGTACTCTTGACGGTCGTCGAGCCTATATCTTCTATCAGCCTTCCGCCACCTTCGATGACGCGCAAACGAAATACAACCCCGAAACCAAGAAGTTCGAACTTGATGTCACTGCCTACGGTGCTGAATGGATCCCCCGTTTTCTGGAGCTACAGAATTACACTCTATCCTCTCTGGAAAACGTAACGTACGACACGTTAAAAGATTGGATGGAAATTGGATGGCAGCGCTACGAAGATGTCCTGCAGACCACATGGCCTGACCTAACCTCCTTCCAGTCCGCGGGTGGAAAGGTGCTTCACTACCATGGTGAGTCGGACCCAAGTATTCCGGCTGGATCCTCGGTACACTACCATGAATCGGTCCGTAAGACCATGTACCCGAACATGTCTTTCAACGAAAGTAACCAGGCGTTGAATGAATGGAACCGCTTATTCTTGGTCCCCGGCGCCGCGCACTGCACCTCCAGTACCGATCAACCCAATGGTCCCTTCCCCCAGGCAACTCTCAAGACGCTCATCGAATGGGTGGAAAATAAAATCGTTCCAGAAACTTTGAATGGTACGGTGCAGGACGGTGATCACCAAGGGGAACAGCAGCAGATCTGCGCTTGGCCCTTGCGTCCCTTGTGGAAAGAGAATGGTACCGTTATGAATTGTGTGTACGACCAGGCTTCCTTGGACACCTGGGACTATGAGTTCGATGCCTATCGCATCCCCCTGTACTAAAAGGATTGGCGTGTTCCATACAGCTAGCTGATAATAAAGAAACATAATCGCTTCTTGGGCTAGGATAACCAAAGTATGGAACTTCGATCTTGCAGATATATACTTATATATTTTCCAATCTATAACAAGTCAGTCCAATGGGTTTCTTATCCTCAGCAATGAAAACAGCATGGACGCAATGATTACCTTGGTCATAATGAACTTTGTGCACAGCTGTACTCGCTGACTAACTAGTATAACTCTTCCCAATCGAGTTAAGTACATCCGGCTCGATTACCCTCGGCTTCTCCGGCTACTGCGCATCTCAGCACAAAACGCCCTCTTAGCCCTATAGAAATCGAATGTCCACACCTGTTTAGCGTAAGCTGATTAATTGAGGTTCTTTGCTACTCTGGATGCCTCCTCGTGGCTCGAAGACGACAGGCGAACTTATCATTGTTCATCAGCAAAGCCGGGAGAGTCGAACGCGAGCTCGGGCGCACTTGGCGCATAACGGGATCAGGAAGAGGATCGAAAAGCAGCGTGAAAAGGACAATGACAGTCTATCACCCCCCGGCTCGAAGGCCGTAGTTGCTCCTCCCATTTCAGCTCCGGTCGCATTGTCGGGCTTTTCTATGGTGGAGTATTTAATCTCCACTAACATCTTCCCGGATCTTAGTAGCACATGGGGTGTGAGCCCAGCTGTCTGTCCCGGTCCTGCAAATCTATCGCATACCCTCTCGCGGGCTTCTGATGTACTGGAATGTATTTTCCGTGCTAGCTTGGCATTTCATTGGCTTGATCTCAATTTGTGGGCGACCCCTGAGAAGAAGAGGAACATGAAGGTCGCCGCCCTGACGTATCGAGGGCAAGCTCTAGCATTGGCGCAGAAGGAGTTGCTTCGCTGCTATACATCAGGCTCCACGAACTGTGACACTATACAACAGCCAGTTCACCCGGCAAATCGGGAGATCTGCTTCGGTATTGTGCTCCGAATGCTTCAACTCGACTACCGATTTGCGCGATGCGACGTCCAGGCTCATTTTGTGGCATGCCGACAACTGCTCAGGGCCAGCCCATATAATAACCTCACGGCGGATCAACGATCAGTTGAAGCTCTGGCAACTACCATTCGTAATCCTCATCTACATCACCTTATGATCACCTTTGAATGCATCAATTGTACCCCCAACAGTGTGATCTGGGATGATGCGGACTTAGACTTTCTTACGAGGCATCTGTGTCAACTTGTCAGCCGCCTCAGGGCGTGTGATGTAGCATCTACGAAGGACCAAACCTTGTGTGAAACTATCCCTCTAACACCGGCAAGGGTTTCCCCGTCCACTATCTTATGGCGATGCCTCACAAAGAGACCCACATCAATCCCGTCGAACATCTACCGTGACGTCTGTGAATCTAGCGCACAGATTGCGGCATTACTGCTCATCTGCTCATTATTCCTCGACTATGAAGATGGCTCTGAAGGCACTAATACTTCGATTCCCTACCAGTGCGTTGAGGAGCTAGAGAATGCGCTTTATGCTCTCGGAGAGGAAAACGCTGTATCTAGTGCCCTCAATACGGCCTGGCTGTTGGCTGGTGGACTCGGATTGCCGCTGACCAAACGGCGCGCTCGTTTGTGGTCCGTATCCGGGATGCTATATGCTCTGAAACGATCTACGAGTCTGGATCTGACCGTTACCACCTTGGACGATGCGGTGAATGCCCAGTATGTCAAGCAAGTTTGCTTGGAATTCTTGGGTAGCCCTTGGAGACGGTCCTGAAGTAGGGAAAACCTAGTTTGGTTTTGAATCTACAGTCTGCAATCCATGCTTGCTCTAGGATTATATTAGTATTCCTTCCTCCAAGCTCAACTCAACGCCTCGCCTTTGCCGAGGTACTAACCCGATTAGGAAATTTCCTAAAGGGGCAAGGGTTGATACAACGCTCAATCAATCGTCTCAACAGAATTTTTGGCTGGATCGCAGATTGCCTATTAAATATCACATATGGTCTAACCATCCAGAACATGTGCTGCACTACGTTCTCTACAGTTTCTTTCCCTGCATTAGCTCCGCGTCGTGTCACAAAGGGCCTAGCCGGACAGTGTCTGCGGTAGGATCATCCAGGGCAATCTTTAATGATGGTCAGCTCTTCGTCTTTACCCCCAGAGCTACGAAAGCTCTCTGATGATGTCTATGTTTATGACCCCAGCTTGGGCTCCCTTGGTGACAGCCACAGCAGCGCAAGCAATCCCACAACGGTTGTACTATACACATGGGCCGATGCACACGTACGCCTGGTTCAGAAATACTTCCAGGGCTACAGAGACCTCTACCCATCTGCCAAAATTATTATAGTCATGGCCACGACTATGAAGACATTTTTCGCCGGACGAGAAACGAATCAAGCCGTTGTGAGGGAAATGGTTATCAAGGAATTGTGGCCGCTTAATAGCTGCAAACTAAGCACTTCTTCCGAACTTCCAGAGTCCATGAAGTATCGGGGAACAACACACCCCCGCATCCTCATGCATGCCTTCTCGAATAGTGGCGGCGTCAACCTGGAGGCGACTGCTTTAGTTTGGCATTCGTTACAACGGAGCGTGGGCCAATCCATCGGCCCACTACCCATCCAAGGCCTCATTCTCGACTCGACGCCGGGTGGATCATCCTTTTCCCTTGAATTTTATCGCTGGACAGCTGGGGTAGCGTTGGGGTTCGCATTTCTCCCCAGGCCCTTAGCGAAACTGGTGGCGGCCACCATCGTGCTACTATATTTTGGGCTACCGAGCCTGCTCGGAAAGGAGTCGCTTCCTGTCCGTGGACGGAGGGTCATCAATTCGCCCGACTACATACCAACAACCAGCGGGCGGTTGTATATATACTCAGACTCGGACCCCTTGATTGGAGACAAAGATGTAGAGTCCCACGGGCGTGAAGCTAAGGCGAAGGGATATCGGGATATTGTGTTGGAAAAGTTCCAAGGTTCGGGCCATGTCGCACACATGCGGCAGGATCCAAAGAAGTACTGGGCTGCGATTGCAAGGTTTTGGGATAAGAGCTGTGTGTAAAAGCTAGTATCACTCTTGTGTAAGACTTAAGTGACTGAGAGAAGCATGTCCTGTGATGTTCTTGTAATATAAGTTAATTCTTATGACCTTTGGTTCACTTTCAACACGGTATGATATCTTGTGTCCACTGCCGGAATGCGACGGATCCTGCAATAGCCGACGGTGGATCTTATCTGATCATCTGATAATCACCGAGGGTTGTGTGGCCAATCGGGGAGTGTACCAGATTTCCCTTCAACTGGTTCTTTTCCCCCACAATGGGCACACTTTTCCTGCTTCCGGGGAAGTTTTGTCTGCGTTGTCACCCTGACATACCAGAGGTGTCTATCCACCTACTCTTTCCGTGTGGCCACCCCCTCGTGCCTTTACCTCCTTGCTTCTACATACATCTCGCTCGCGTTGGCCAGTAGCGCGCTGCTTCATGTATCCAATGTCATGCAGAAATTATTACGGGCGGTTTCGCATGACTCAGAACCGGACGGAAGCAGAATCTCGCCAGCGCCAGTCATGAAAGATCCACATGAAGGTTATGAACCCATCTTCGACTCATCGTCGGAAACTATTGCAGAGGCCAGGGAGGGAAGGGCACATGGAGTCGCAGAGATCGAGGCGTTAGCAACTGTCTGGTCGAAGAAGGCTCTCCATATCGGATACGCGTTGTATGGAACCTCCCATCTCATAGTATTGATGGAGCAAATCTGACGTGGTCGGTTAGAGTGTTCTTGATATTCTTCACCAACTCTTTCCAACAGGAAACGACGGGTAGTCTCTCCCCGTACGTGTACTCGAAGTTCGCCAATCATTCTCTGGTATCAAGGACGAATGTCCTAACAAATGTTGTCGGTGGGGTGGCCAAATTGCCGTGTGCTATGTTAATCGATGTCTGGGGCCGTCCGAAGGGCTTTGGGATCATGACCGGTTTATGCACCCTAGGTAGGACGGACTCTACTGAGATAGGCAAAAACCTCTGCTGATATCAACAGGGCTTTTCCTGATGGCTATTTGTGCGAACGTGGAAACCTATGTCACCGCTCAGGTAAGTTTCATGCCCTTATGCTGATGAACGGACTCTGTATAACGACTTCCTCAGGTTATATACTGGGTTGGATACAACGGAATGGACTACGTCCTTCATATCTTTCTCTCCGATACAACCGATTTGGTCAACCGATCGTTCGTTTATGGCATGGCATCAACTCCTTATGTTGTCACTACATTTGCCGGTCCTGCAGCCGCGCAATCGCTCTATGAAAAGGGAGGTTTGTGGTGGGGTTTTGGGATCTTCGTCGTCCTCACTCCACTTGTAACGGCGCCATTCATGTGGTTACTTTGGACCTCACTCCGCAAGGCATACACAGCCGGGTTAATCCGGAAGGCTCACAGTCAAAGAACATGGACACGATCCGTCAAACATTATTTCATTGAGTTCGATAGTAGGTATTTCGCTATGATATGATAAGGGTATAGACTAACTGGAGCAGCCATTGGACTCTCGTTAGTAACAGTGGCATTCGTTCTGATGCTTCTGCCATTGACGCCAGCCTCACATGCCAACAATGGCAGTATGTCCTCGGCTGGTAGGTCGAGATCGCCGGATACTATAACGTCGTTCTTTCTCGGCGTAATGGCCTTTGTGGCATTTGTGCTCTGGGAGCGCTATTGTGCCCCTGTATGTTTCTTACCATTCAACCGGCTCAAGGATCGAACGTTGTTGGGAGCTTGCTTTCTTGCTGCGTCCCTTTTTGCCAGCTTCTAGTATGCTTCCCTATTTCGTGTTCTTCATAATGGGCCCTTTTTGCTGACATGCTGTAGCTGCTGGGATCTTTACCTTGCTTCCTACCTCCAGGTTACCTTCAACACCAGCATCCGGGAGACGGGCTACATTTACAACATCTATACCATTGGGACATGCCTTTGGTCCATACCACTAGGACTGTAAGTACGACTCCTTTCTGGCAATTATTCCTCACTGACATCGCGACAGGATCATCCGCAAAGTCGATCGCCTTAAATGGATTGCTCTTGCCGCTATGCCATTGATCTTCCTTGGGACAGGACTGATGATCCATTTCCGATCACCTCAAAGTCACATCGGATACGTCGTACTTTGTGAGGTCTTCAAGGCCCTAGCCGGGGGCACTCTGGTAATCTGCCAGCAGATGGCAGCGATGGCCACCGGCGGCCACGAGAGTGTTGCTGTCTCCTTCGCGTTGGTAGGATTGTTCACCAAATTGGGAGGAGGCATCGGATCTGCTATTTCCGGTGCAATCTGGACAGGCACTGTCCCTTTCTATCTGGAGAAGTACCTTCCTCCGGAGAAAAAGTACAAGGCAGCGGAGCTCTACGGGTCGATCGAGGAAGTCCTATCGTACCCGATCGGGACCCCGGAGCGGGATGCGACCATCCAGGCATACGGAATAGCTCAACGGCGGATGTTGATTGCTGGTCTTTCCATCCTACCGCTTGCTGTGGCGTCTATTCTGATGTGGAGGGACATCCGCTTGAAGAAACTCAGCCAGGTCAGGGGTACCGTCTTCTGAGCATGCACGAGACAGCTCGGCGGGCACTGTGAAGGGACACATATTGGAAAGACTTTGTACATAGAACCTTGTAAATCAACAATTAAGTACATGATACCACATGGCTTAGGCCGACGCCTCCATGGTCTTCAGCTTCTCCTGCAAGGCAGCAAAATTCCTCTGCATAGCCTGGGAATTGAACTGCTCTCCTGTCAGCATCGGATATTTCTTCTTCGGTCCCTGGATGAGCGCATCCTTGCATGGCTGATTGAAATATGCAATGCTGTACCGATCGCCATAATAATCTCCCGGCTCTGACGGAGCTTTGACACGATGAAAAGTCGATTTAAAGCGATCATCTGACCACGACATGAGCAAGTCCCCAATGTTACAAACGATCTCACCGGTGCGCGCCTCCACGCGAGTCCATTCATCGCCGATCCCAAACTCCGTAACAGCTTCGCGACCGGGACATATTTCCAGTCCACTTTGCCCATCCTTTTGAAACAGCAAGGTCAGGAAATCCCAGTCGGCATGGGCACCAGCCCGATGATATGTGTTTCCGTCGGGCTTTTCCGGAAGAGCAAAGTAATGCAGCAGCCGCATCGTCGTCTGTTCATTGGCACGAGACACATCATGGCATTTGATAAAGTAATCGTCTGGAAAGCCGAGCCCGCGTGCAAAGCACCGCATCAATTGTTCCGACACTCCCTGCACGCGATGCATGAATGTCAAGGACGTTGTGCGAAACCCGGGGAGGTGGACATCGTCTAACCACATGTTGGTCATATTCTCTCCGAACTGTAACTGGTATGATTCCTTCGTGTCCGGCTGGCCTGTGGATGGCCTGACCTGCGACTTCTTTTCCCATCCGACATTATTGGGATTCCACGGAACGCTGGCCTTGACGTCGTCGGGGAGATTGAAGAAGCGCTCAGCGGTGGCGAACATGATCTCGATGTCATCGGTAGAGATACCATGATCGACAATCGTGAAGAACCCGACATTCTCAGCGGCGTGGACGAGGTCCGCAGTGATCTCATCGATGCGCTGGTCAAAATCGGCCAGGGAGATTCGGGGGATGGGACGGTCGATGTACTTTGTTGACATTGTGGAGGGCTATAGAAGTTCGTTCCTAGGGGAAAGTTGAAACACAGAAGACACTCGTAGCTCGGCCTGTGAGCTTTAAGAAGCTGTTAAATGTCTATGGATGTGGGGCTTAGGCTGATGCGAGTCGATCTGAGATGCTTATCAGACAAAGGTTCCCCGCATGACGGAGTCCGCCGATGGTTATCAGCTGTAGTAATAATCAATAATCTCTTTTTTTCTACGGTTACATGTTCCAGTGACTCATATTTTCCACTTGATATCGCTTGTTCTTCGCCCGGTGGTGCTTGAATTTGCAGTGTTTTCTCTATCTACCTATCGCACTTGTACTGGTTCAGAGTTGTCGCTGGAGGGACAGCTTTACGGTCTGGTGGACGAATATAAAACATATTTGAGCAACCTCAAAGGGACTTTAGCTTGAAAGAATAGGCAGCACCTCAATACAAAGATTTAGTCCCTTGGACTTAGGCACAAAGATAAAGCTATAAACTGGAGGAAGATATGAATTATACAGAAAATTAGAGTGATCCTCTGGCGGTTTCCAATGGTTCGACAACTACATAACATGGAAAAGTGAAATGAAAAAAAAGAAAAAAAAAAAAGAAAAGAAAAGAAAAACCGGCGGGGCGGTGGTCCAATCGAACGTGCAATTTAAGGCATCCTGATTTGCGCTTAGGAACTAATGGGTTCTAGCATAGTCGGCGAGGATTGAATCCGCGATCCGCAATGCCATACCGTAATAGATTGTCATAACATGAGAGGAAACCTGAGTAGGAGGAATCGAGCCGTCGATAACACGAAGGCCCTGGGTGTCATAAACCTTGGCAGTCGCATCAACAACACCACCAAGTTCCCTGGACATCATAGAGCAGGTACCCACAGCATGCCAGTTAGCACGGAAGTTGTCCTTGACATACTCGGCATATTGGTCTAGTGTGGCCTCGTAGGGCAGTTTGGCACCCGGGATAACCTCGCCAGCAAAATAGCTTGCCATAGCTCCACTATTCTGCAGCTTGCGGGCAAGTCGGGATGCGGCAGCCTGGCCGAGAAGGTCCAGCTCGTTGAAGAAGAACTTGGGATCATTAGCATACTGCCAGAGATATGGATCACTGCTGAGAATATGAGTCGAACCGCGAGTAAACGGTATTAAATCCCACAAGTCGAAGTTGATGTGTCCGGAAGTGTCGAGGAATAGCTCTGCAAAGGCGACATCCTCATCAAGCAGCCAATTGCGATAATTCTCGTATTGGACCTTGAGTGCAGTGACGTTGTGGAAGCCACCCCAAGCAACTGTCTCCTCGGCCCATTTGTCAAGTTTGGTGTTGAGAAGTTCCGTAGCATAATCAGCGTCTTCGCCGAAGGTCTCAGTAAAATTGGCAAAGTAGACAGCTTGACCCTGGCCAAAGCCAGCGGGTGTGCTACGTGCGCGCACAGTCGTGGTAGTTTGATCCTGCATGTTGATACCGACAGGCAGCTCCAGACGCTGAGGAACGCCAGCTTTGTCAAGTACAGGCTTCAAACCAATTCCAGAGTACTCCAGGATCAGAGGAGAGATGGCAGAGCCAGCGGCCAACAGGACTTCATGCTTGGCGTAGACATTGAAGTTAACAGCCTTGTTCTGGCCAAAGTTTACTCCAATAGCTTTGTGACCGGGCGCATCTTGATCAAAGAGAACCTTTCCAACAACCTGTCCGGTCAAGACCTTCAAGTTTTTCCGGCGATAATTGGGAAGGAGCCATTCGCGAGCGGCATCGGCGCGTACCTGATCCTCTAATAGGTTATTAGGAATCATAGAAACCCCACGAGGGTGGCCGCAGTGGAGGTCCACCTGAGTTGGCACTCCGAGGGCGGAAGTGGTGTTCATCAGTGCTCTCATAAGGGGAGACCAAGGCTGACCATTGTCACGCGGTCCAGCATGAACAGTGCCGTTAAAACCATGGCAAGCAGGATTAAAATGGTGGCCGGCCGCTATCTGAGCAGCAGTTGGGGGGCGGGCACGTTCAGCCTGGTTCATATACTTGACGACATTGTCCCAGTTCCACCCATGATTTCCGAAAACCTTCTCCCACGAATCAATCTGGACCCTGTCTGGACGGGTCCATGAATCACCATTGATCAAAGTAGATCCTCCAAGGCCCTTCCCAGACTTGATATTGTCGGTACGGTTATTGATGAGAGGGACAGTCAGGTAATTCTGATCCACCGTGGTGCCAAAAATCTGGCCATAAGCATTTGGATCTTCGATGATGGGCCCGTCGTTAGATTCATAAAAGCCCTTTTCAATCACCAGGACCTCAATATTCGGATTCTCCGTCAATTTGGCAGCTACCGTTAGACCGGTCAGACCTCCACCGGCTATAATATAATCGAAGGTTTTGTCGGCAACATCTCTCGGGTTAGTGAGCAGACTGGCTTGAACATCAATCTGCTCGGACACCAGGTAAGCGCTGACCGTAGCCAGAGGCAAAAGAAAGTAGCCGATGTATCTCATTGTGACAGAAATTGTAAAAGAGTGGGGAAAGGTCGGTTAAATATTGAATGAACGGTATGTCTGTAAGGAACGATGGAAGCATGGGCTGCTCTCATCCAAGGCTATTCACCAGGGGTGAGACAGGGAGTATATATACGATATTTTCAATCTCCTAGGTGTTCGATATGCCAGGAAAGTTATTCAGCTTCAAGGTCTAGATGGTGAACGTGTTTGTAATCATCTATGACTTACGGTCTTATCTTCACACATACATAAAGGTGTCATATTAACAGCTAGCAAACTCAATCGTCTGCCTCTATAGTTAGGACAATAAACGGTAAGCTTTGGTGCTACTATACGACGTGCCCATCTATCCTTGCGTAATTTGGTTAGAGTCGGTTCGATCATTATCTAGCATGAGCCAATATTCTCATCCAGTTGCTAAAGCACGTTTTCAATGGAAGTTTAGACGTGAAGGACAAGAAATCATCCGCCGACGAATTAGAGCGGCTCAAATTACAACGGTGAAATTGGCTTTCTGCATTCTTGGCAGCTTATATTTGGTCGTCGGTGAAGCTAAATTAGTATTTGATAGGCATCCTCATCATTAGATCATGGTACGCATGGCTAGGCTATTGATTTATATAGGAAAAGAGCAGTACTTCTGTAAGATCCATGCATTCAAGATGACCCAACATGGTTCAATCACTGATAGTCTGTCTCCTGCTGCGAGTGCCCGCGCTTGGACATTGATTGTATTCCTGCCCCACAAAAGTAAAAACATGTCAGAACCCTGACTTAAAAGAGCACTTGCAGGATGAAAGCCGCTGCGTGGAGCAGTGCTAGTGAATCTTGAATAATCCGGCTCGAGTCCTTCCACGACAACCCTACCGTCATACAAACCATTGCAGCTGCGATCACCAGGACGCCACTCTATGCATACTGATCAGTAGAAATTCAAATGGGCTGCCGACAAATGTAGATCACCTTTGGCTCTATAGGCGAATACGAGATTTTAAGATGAACTAAACCTTTAATTTGCTTTGGCCCACTCTTTACAGTCCGTGGGTTCGAGGAAGGCAAATCTTCTCGGCATGCCTAGAAATGGCTCCGTCTTTCGGCATGCCGAGACCAACAGCACTGCTCTGAATGAGCTGAGTACCGTCAGAGCCTTCCAACGTGGTCCATTGCGTTAATTCTTGGGATAACCGTTTGGACCTATTTCGGATCCACGGTAAAGAATAACTTTCGTATTCACAGCGAATACCCACTACCGTAGTCTAATAGTAGGTCATCTACATAGAACGTGGGTGGGTTTCTAGACCTTAGTATCCACTCAGCCAGCATTGCAGGGTTCTCTTGCACAACCAGTAACGAGCCCCCCTAATGCTCTTCTTGGCCTGGGAGTTGATGATGAAATATAGAGAAGTACTTAGGATGGTAAAGTTTGGCAAAGAGAAGCTTCTGGAGGGGTTGTTATCCTAGCGTCGCTAGTATTTACTCAGAGACCTCTATAACCTTTTTAGCTGCGTATGAGTGGAATCACCACAATGAAGCTCCAGCATCTAACTATACCTTTCATTTGGGGTAGTGCGATAGCATCGCGGCTTTATGCAGCATCCTATGCTGGGCATGTAACATCTCTGAGTTTGTCACCATCGGGTGAAAGGTATGAACTGAGAACCCTCTCCCAGAACAACGACTGTGGCCCAAGTCCCTCATGGTTGATGCTGGATGGGCATAATGAAATCCTCTACTGTTTGGATGAAGGTGTTGATCACCATAATGGCACGGTGACTTCCCTCAAGATCAACTTGGATGGATCGTTCACAAAGGTCGGACAACTACAGACATTGGTAGGACCAGTTGCGTCTGCATTTTATACAACAGCCCATGGATCTGGTCACAAGTTCCTGGTAGTCGCTCATTAGTAAGTAAGCCCCTTTCGTTCTGTAATTCTTATGCGGAGTCATTCTTTCCTGGATGGAAATACTGAGCCTTATCATCTAGCTCAGGATCGGCAGTCACCACGTACTCTGTTGACCCTATCAGCGGCCACTTCAACCACTCTCAATCATTCACATTCGCGATGGCTGCCCCGGGACCAATTCCCGAACGACAGGACGCACCACATCCCCATGGAGTCGTTGTCGATCCATCCGGCCGGTTTGTCCTTGTCCCGGACCTAGGAGCCGACCTGGTCCGCATCTTCCGCATATACCCAACTACAGGCCAACTTGAAGAACAACAACCGTTGGCGGTAGCTCCGGGGTCGGGACCACGACATGCGGTCTTCTGGGTTCCTCAGAACACAAACCTCACTCGACTGAGGCATGTTCGATTCTTTCTGGTCTCAGAGTTGGATAATTACCTCAGAGGATACGATGTGACATATCCCAACAACGGAACACTTTTGTTCACCAAGTTCTATGAAGGAAATACGTACGGTGGATCAACTCCTCCAACGGGGTCAAAAGCCGCAGGAATCGCTATCTCGGTACGTCTCTCTTCCCTCTACTCTTCTTCAATCGTCGAAGACCTGCTAAGCATGGGCTTTCCTCAAATAGCCTCAGAATGACCGTCTTGTGATTTCGAACCGCAATGATAATTCTTTTGGTCCCGGCAATGACTCTATAGCTATCTTCTCTCTCGTCAAACAAAGCCAAACTCCCGCCGTCTCGTTCTTGGGATTATATCCTTCATTTGGGTCTTTTCCACGCCATTTTGACATTTCTTCAAAAGACGGTATGATGGCTATAGCACAGCAGAACAGCCACAAGGTAGTGGTGGCCAAGTGGGGCATGAAGGATGGCACACTTGGTTCAGTACTCATAGAGCAGCCACTTGACGGAGAAATTCCTGCTGTGATCTGGAGCTCTTCCTGAGCTTCGTTCGAGCAGGTCGTTGCGCAGGAATAAGTGGACCAAATGAGCAATCACTTCCTGCAACATGTTTGGCTAGAGTATAAAGTCTTACCAGGGCCAGAACCCAGAAGGGCAAATAAAAGCGAAAGAAAGTTTTCATAGATATGAGAAAAAGAACTTGTGTATGGCATCTGTGCATTCTCCTTGCAGATTTTTATCGTACCGCAGTTACCGCCAATGTTAAAGCAAATGCCCCCCCCCCCCCCCCCGGGGGTGGATTCACTCGCTGATAACGTCTAAATATCAAATACGTCTCTGTATTCTAACATTTACGGATTACGAGATGAGATAAGTCTTGTTATACCCACCACTGCCCTGTTCCACGCTTCTATAATATCGTTTCCGATAGGACGATACTACTAATAATACATGATATGCGCTTAATGATTTGTAACGACAATAGTACATATTTGATACAACGGCCGGATGCCTACATGACTTGATTTCGCGCTGCCTGGAGCCACGGAATGGTAAATGAGTTCGCAGTCTCTCGGGATGCCTCGAAAAACGTCTCCTTGTTTCAGGATTTAGTAGAGTTTCCTCTTGCGCTCAGACCCTGAAGATCACGAGCAGTGAGAGTTATGCTTGTTCAGCGTGGGTCATCTTGGTTAAAAACGGCTTTATTTCTCAGCAGCTCGTTCTGGACTTCTAGTCAATAAGGTTCAGGTGTGGAGCAAGGTTTATTTGCGTTGAAACTAGCTCCCTATTGCTAGATAGCATCGAAGACCCACTCTATGTAGCCATGGGAGGGTCAGGGGGACTTTGCTTGACTTTTTCAGCCATCAACTAGGTTCAAAAGACTAGCTTCTGGCAGACCTTTACCTTCAGGCTTAGGATAACCTGCGACTGCCTCATTCAATAAACCCTTGGACCCTAGGGGCCCTTACAACACTGGTCCACCATAATGCAAAGAAAGACGATTTTAAACCTATTTGCCCTTGCCGTGCACATCACAAAACAGGGGAATTTAGTCTCGTATACCAGACCCCTGAGGGATGTGGTTGCTTACGGGCGCCTTTTGCGTACACTAGGACACAGTAGGGCAATCCCGAACCGAAATCCGTGAACTTCCGATATATCCACCACCTGAGAAAGGCAAGATGTACATACTTCTGAGAGTTTTAAAATATTAAATACTCTGAATCAAGAATTCACTATGAATATTCTGGTACCGGGCTATCCTGAAGACATTATTATCTTGTTCACTGTGCATTACATATTGGTAACATTGCTTATCATAAGCCTTCGGCGGGAACAAGAGTATAATTCGCTTCTCTTGTTTTCAACGTATAACCTTTCCAACCGGCTTTTGGTAGATCAATACTGTCATCTCCAACCAAGAATTTCATGAAAACACCATGCGTCAAGATTATCAGATGATTTTTCTCCTGGTCTTTGAGTTTCGCCAGCAAGTGGGCAATGTAACGACGCACTCTTGCCGCCCGTTCCTCAACGGCTTCATTCTCTGACGAGTAGGCTGCTTCCTTGACATACCAAGTGTCTTCCAACCCATTGAAGGAAAGATATGGAAATGTTTCTTCAAGGAGACTGCGAGAGGATCCTGTGTCGCACGGGAAACTGCTCCGTTCTTGTAGATCAGGGTCCACAATAAGTATTGCGCCGTCTTCAATACCTTGGCCGGAGTCCGGGCTGAAGTAGCGTTTGTCCAGAATATGTGAGAATGCGGCAAGAGTCGTCTGGATAGTTCGTCTTAGTGGTGAAACAAGAATAGCACCCACGCGTGGGCCATAGGGGAAGGTTTCTGCAAGCTGCCTAGCCTGCTGAAAGCCTAGCTCAGTCAAAGGGGGGTCGCGGTGGTTGAAGTCTTTTGACACATTATGGGCGGCTTCCGCATGACGGACAACAAAGATTTGTGCAGCCATTAAGGGTCGAGTTGGCTTGAAGGAGGGTAAAAGGGGATCACGGTAGTGGAATGGTTAGGGTAACATGCTTTGAGATCTCGTTGAGAGAGCGATATATATACAGATGTTATGATGGGGCAAAAAGATACGCCCGTTCGATTTGAGGCTGGTTGGTGGTCCATATTCGCCATTGCCGGCATTGATCACGTATTCCTAAGACAGCCCAGCTGAAAGCGCGTGTTGCAAATATACATCAGGCCGGATATCTCATGGCGATACTCTCGGAGGAACCTCGGTCAGGTCACTCGGCGAAACCTGTCGACATAATAAGGTTCAACCTTAAAATGCTGACTGGGTTGTGAGTGGGGTTTCGCTCTTACCAAGCGAATTCAGTCTAGATCATGACTTCCCGGAATTAAAAAGGTGATCCAGACGTTCCAGGGTAGTAGTGTCACGCTAGTGGGTTAGACTCATGCCCATTGCAAAAGGATACGATTCATGTAAGTCCGGCACGGATTTTGAACCTCTTTCTTATAGTATGAGTCTCATTTCACCTATCCTTTTCTGCGACACCATAGCCTACATGTCAGCTCCATGGTCTAGATTGAAATCGCCGACGTCCGTTTGCGTTCATGTTTTCAGTTCAGACTGTGTGAGTGACTACTCCTGGTGAAACAAGTTGGTTGAAACGTTATATTTGGAGTTCCTATCAGCGTGGGAGTCATGTATAGAATGCAGTTTCCCGGGGATCATTATTCAGTCTTGACAGTTCAAATTGGGTCCAGTGGGGGACGTACCACTAGCAGTACCTAGGTAATTAATTACAAAGGTGAGAGTAGGAAGATGCATCACGAACCATACATAAAATCAGACTGTTTGTCCATTATCATTCTGTTGACTACACTAAAATATAAAGATCAAGTATAAATCCCGTTCTCTAACAAGGGCAATTTCCCATCTCACCAGACAAGAACCGCTATACGATAGGTAGTTTCATATCATGATCCCTAGAAACGTCTGTACACCCAGATGCTTTTCTGGCTCAAGTTGATTCTCTTGGTGGCATCTTTTCACATGATCATCTTATCTCCTTTGATATTGTAATGGTTGAAGTATCCAGGCGTTGTGTACCATTATTCAACCGCAAGAGCAAATATTTCCCATTCATCCTTGTGGATTTGCCTCTAGCATCGATGTTATACAAGACGCTCCGCGCATTCTTGTATATTGTGCTTGATATATTTTCTTTCCAAATATTCGCTAGTGAACTCTTCCATCGTCTTCATGGTGTCAGGATTCCATTGATCCAATAATATTTGATTCCATTTCTGTGAATCACTTCTGAAACGCCAGTATGTCTTTTCGCCATCCGAATTAAAGGATTCTTCCATGTATTTGTGAGCCTTTTCAGTGTTAGCAGACTGAAAGCCTACCCAAAAAGCAGTCAAAAATGTCTAAAAGGCCCTCTGGGTTTCCAGGCCCAAAGTATCCATGAGGCTGTTGCAAGCCAGTTCCGATACTGGCAATGGCATTGAAATCTTTGTTATGTTATCTATATGGGCTCCAATATTGTAACTCCTTGACGCCCTCTTCAGGTGGGTTTTGCAGGACCAACCCAACGTCTTTGAAGCACCAAATATTCCCTTAAGTGCGTCGATTTCTTTGGGAATGAAATAGGTTGGCACTGCAGTGCAAGCCCGTGCGACCGACCATACTGTATCATTGAAAGCTCTTCCAAAATCTAGATCACTAGATATATATATTTTCTTTTTTAAATATTTTTTATCTTCTATAGTATTTATCCCTTCAAGGTCCCTTCTCATAGAAGACGCTGACTCTAACGTCTAATAGGCTACAAAGCTAATTTATAACTTATAGCTAACCCTACTCTTCTACCCCATTCCGTTGTCGCCTACAATAAATAAATTATATTTTCGTCCCTACTGTATAGATTCTGTATACCGTTATATGCGGGCTTGGTTAGATTATTTAAATAATAATACAACTATACCTTGGAGTAAATCCAATAGTATAAGTACCTTAACAGCAATTCCATGGGCTGTCTTTATTACTGTTGTGCTTCTCTAAGGTCTGATTTCAGTATATATTATAGCTAACTGCGGAACGATCTATGACTGCGCTTCATGACATTCGTCTGATGATATACGCAGTCCTTCTATTGAGGCAGCGAGTCCCCCGCAACATCCTTATATCCATACATCAAGCCTCTCAATGCCTTTATCCACAGAGTCCATGATTTCCGACCGGTGTGAGTGCATCCTGCCCGGTGAATCCTACTACTATGCAAGTCTCAACGCCAGACAACCATAGAAATAACTGCGTATAGCGGCATGGCAGCCAAAATAAGCCCCGATAGCGTAGTCACCGATCCGTCATCATTGCAGCACCCACAAACGCTAACCAGGCCGGTATATCCGCCACCAACATGCGAATTCGATGTAACCCCAGCCAGATATCTACTTGCTTACTCGTCTCGGCTTCGGGATCAGGATTATCAAGGATGCGTTGAATCGGTGGTGCGACGAATGGTACAAAAGTCAAATGCCCAATAGCTCCAATGAGGCCAGCCCAGTAGAACGTTGTGCGAGACACAGGCAGTGGTTGGGAGTGAGGATTCTTCAGGAAGATGTTGCATAATGAAGTCCCGATTGTCGTGATATTGAGGGCTAGTACAAGGCTCACTCCCCTAGGGAATATATAACGCCAATACTTGGCGAGAATCGAGTCGGACTTCTTACGAATCGACGGCTGGACCAGCCCGGAGTAGAATATGAGTTCGCTGGTAGCAAGAACGAGGCTTCCGGTGCTTGTTGCGAGTGGAGCTGTCCGAAGAAGAGAGCAGGGATCAATGATAACTCCTGAGGCCATGGTAGACGAACAGATGTGAAATCCTGTCAGAATGAACAACTGGGCTTGTGAAGGGTGGTTTATTGTAAGATAGCTTTTATAGATAAATGTGGCTTGAGCACATCCGGAGAGAGCCTGATGAGCAATATACAAGGGCTAATGAACAGGAAGTGGACTGATGCTTGCACTAGTGTCAGCTGGTCTCCCAATTATTCGTGGATATTGATCATATCAATGTTCTATAGTCTTGGCCCGACGTATAACTAACAATTGCCATTAGCGTGCTCGTAAGCGCCCCACTTACGTCTTATATTCCAACAGGATATTGTACTGCAGTCACAGCATCATCGGAAGGATTGATGATGGAAGACCCCCACTCGCCGTCCAGTTCGAATACCGAATACCTGAATATACGTATTCGACGGGCTGCTCTAGCAGCACCAAATCTCGATCAACTCAGGCTTATCGTACTCCAGACCAACCCACATAACTTAGCCAATCTCAAGACCGAATTACCATCACGATAGGAGAAATGATTCAGCCAGCTAGAAGTCATCGAGGCAATGAGCAATGCAGAACCCCCGAACGCCGATGGGCTCAGCCATCTAGAATGCATTGATTTGTAAATATTGGCGAAGGCATCTCTTTGAGAGGCGCATGGCACCGACTACTTAGGTAGGGCTAATGTATCGTAAATGTCGGAGAGCCCTCAACTAATACGAGACCAAATGTTTCTGACAAATCAGAATGACTGTTCCCTAGCCATGTAAACACCGCTCGTGATGGCAAGCTCGGGGATTACTGGGCTCTAAAACCACGCTATATGACTGGCTTAATGCGTAGCATTTGCGAGAGGACTGGTAAGGAGGAGCATGCCGTCCAGGACCCAGGCCACTACAAGTTGTCCTTAGAGACGATAGATGAGAACGTGCTACGAGGATTCACATCATATCCTTGGTTAGTATCGTGATAATACAGACAGAGCCCGAACTGCCTTATTACGCAATATCCAATGCTATGAAGATGGTCTGTATACAAATTTATGTAGTATGAGTCTCAGCATTTCATTTGAAGAGACCCTCAGAAGAATAATGTCCATGTATCAGAGAAATACAAGTGTTGGCTGCAAATGAAACTGATAATTGTTACCTACATACTGGGGCGCAGCTAGCTCATAAACACCCTAGATGCCACTGCGTATGAAATCTATGTCTTCCCCTCGAGGGGTGAACTAAGCTGCCATTCCGACTGTAGCCGGAAGTCGCAGTATATGAGCGCTAAACAATAAATTGATGGCATGGGTGCCTTCACTTGTATAATTGCATGCATAATCTAGCTATCTTGTTGCATAATAGGGTCGATATGTGTGTGTGTGTGTGTGAAACCGGACCAAAGGCACGTCCTTTGATTAAAAGATATTAGAGGCCTTTTCACCCTGGTTGCATCCTCTGATTTCTCGTATTTACCGACTTGGCGTCGCGCGGATTGGATGCATCCTCCATCCAGTCCCGTTAATCTAGGGGACTTACGGTCGATCCTTACGATATAGAGAAGAGATCGTCCATCGTGCCACAACAATCCTCGGTTTTTTTTTCTGTTTCTTCACGCTCGCCCTCAAGATGCTGCAGCTTTAGAGCATGGATCGGCCTCTCTGAAATAGCCCCAATTACTTATACTTGCTTGCCCTGGCAGGATAGTGCCAGTGGTTCGTGTTTGTGGTTAAAAATAACAACAAGGGAGCCACCAGTGCATCCCAAGGCTTCGTATCCAGAGAATGCCCCACAGCGTCACATATCACGAAGGCCCCGAAAGCCAATAACAGTTACCCCTTTTTAATCTCTTCCAACGATCATCTGACGATAACCCAACCAACGTTACAATCCAATCTACACATTCAGTTCTGCAGTGCTCATCTAGATTGGGATGTGCATCATTATTGCCCAACATGGTAATTTTCATGCTTCCCTAGATGATGGCCCGACACATTACGCCAAGTACAACCCTCTAGGACACCCTTATATTTAGGGTCTTGCACCCACTAGGCAATGCCATCAACACCACGGTTATCACTTCTTGCAGACACAGACAGCCAGCGACCACAATGAAACTCGCCAATCTCGCCCTCACAGCTACCGCCGGTCTGTCCTTGAAGGCTACTCCTGAGACAGTCCAAGGGTTTGATATCTCCAACCATCAAGCTACTGTAGACTTCAAGGCTGCCTATAATGATGGCGCTCGCTTCGTCATGATTAAAGTGTGTCATCACTCATCTCGATATTATGATCGCCTCGTTAACATTCGCAGGCAACCGAGGGCACCACCTACAAGGACAAGGTCTTTAGCTCACATTATCAAGGCGCTACTGACGCCGGTATGATTCGCGGAGGCTACCACTTCGCGCTTCCCGACTCCTCCTCTGGCGCAGAGCAAGCACAATGGTTCCTCAAGAACGGTGGTGGCTGGTCCAAGGACGGCATTACATTGCCCGGTATGCTCGATATCGAATACAACCCTTATGGCGACGACAAATGCTACGGTAAGGCCGGTGAAGCTATGGTTGCCTGGATCAAGGACTTCGTCGATACGTATCAGAAGGCCACCGGTGTCTACCCCATGATCTACTCCACCGCCGACTGGTGGAATACCTGCACTGGAAATGCCAAAGGCTTTGGCAACACCTGCCCTCTCGTACTCGCCGCTTATCGCGACTCGCCGCCGACAACAATCCCTGGCGATTGGGCAACCTACACCATCTGGCAGAATTCTGACAGCTATAAGCATGGTGGTGACTCGGACATTTTTAACGGAGGGTATGAGCAGCTGCAGAAAATCGCTAACGCTGCTTAAATATGGATCGATGACTTGTTTTGCAATTATGATATCTTTTCGTTCGTTTCTCGTGAATGTATTTTTCAACTGTCCAGGCGACGGTCGCTAGTTAAACAATTAACATACCGTTGGCCTTCTATCATCTATTCAACATAAGGGATAGATCAAGCGAAGACACGCTCACCATTGTCTTGCTTTAGTCTTTGCAACTGTCTTTACATTACCATTTTACGGTCTTCAAAACACCCACCCAGTTGGAAAGATTTGCTGTCATCGATCAGCCTTACCAGGATAGAAGAAAGGAATGAACAACTCTCCTTGGAATCTGGCAAAGGCCGAAGTCGCATTTAACACTATGGCATCATCAGACGAGAAATATGCTGAAAATAATTGCGGGAGTGCCCGAAGATAACCAGCATTCTGTCAACTATGTCGTGGTTGACGGAGGATCAGGACAACTCAGCAAGGAGACTGAGCAAGGGGGCATGGACAAATATCGGCATTCGAAGATCTGCCAAGTGATGTAAAGTGTCTCAAATTGTCAATTAAATTAAAAACAATAATTTTTGGGATGAATAAAATAGAATCTACATTTGTCATTGACATGCCGTATAAAATACTTCGATCTAGCACGATTCTACTAACAGCTAGACAAAGTCGATTTCATAAGACTACCATACAAATCGATCTTTATTTGTCTCCAAAATTAAATGACCCACATATAAAAGTCGAATATCATATAAATGACCGGATGCCACAAAGTTTGGACAAATACCCCTTGCATCTCAGCCAGCCCGAGTAACTTTTCATACGTTGAAAGAATCCGTTGTCGGGCTTCCGTGCAGAAACGGACATATCTTTCATAATTAGGAATCTCAGATCCTGCTGTTCAGTGGGTCCTCCACGGTCTCCCTGCATTGTGTCGGCGCCTCGAATGCCCGTTTACGGAGTATGTGGGCTTCTCCTGAGCACTGATCCAGAGTAAAATCCCCCCTCGGCGCCTCTTGATAAGCTTATAATGGTTAGAAATACTCCAGAAGCCATCTAGAATCTTTGGGGTATTTTTGGATATGACACATCCTAGTCTGCTATGATTCTATCGGCTAGAAGGGCAAATCACATAGATCAGCTGTTAATGTTACTAGTAATTCAAAGCCCCCCCCCCAACTTATACATCCAAACATCATTCCTGCGAATACTGGAGTATGTACAATGCATAGTCGAAGGTTCTTTCCCTGTGTCTTTTAGCCCACCTTGGTCGCGACCATGGACGATCATAGTGGGGAGGATGTTTCTTTCTTTCCACACACACACACACACCGGGCATATCTGCCAAGGATACAATGTCTAAGTGAAAGAGAGGTCCGTGGTTGACTGCCAAGAGTCATATGTGAAAGGAAATCAAGACCTAAAAAGCAAACTAAAAATAAAATCAAAGAATTAAGCAGATTGAAGAGATTTCGGTGTAACATAGCTTAATGTTGGTTGTTTTAGAATATGCTCTTTCCACGCCTGAAGTCATGATCAAAAGGCAGTTGCCCTGTTCTTTCATGTATCCTTCGTTCTAGAAACCTGATGTGAAAATACCCGAAAATGAGGGGCTATGTTTTTAGCATCAGTCTTACATCAGGACAAAGCCCTCGAGCCTTGAGCCTGCGGAATTTAATCCATCCACCGCCACAATATGTGCCTCATCGCGCCCTATATTAAGCTAGGCAGAAACCAAGAAATATAGGACATTCCATCTGTGTAGTGACTGCCAATGACGGACTGACATGACAACTTGCTGCTCTTGTCTGCATTAGTTTCTTTCGCTCGCATATCATTAGGGCTATGATTGGCCTCTACCAGGGAAACGGGATAAATGATGTCACTTTCTCCGCGCTAGTCCAGACAACATCTTCTGGACTTTCGATCGAGTCATAGGATTAGTTAGTATCTCATGATCTAGTACGGACTATATCCGAAGTACCCCGGTTCAAGTCTACATTTATCCTATTTTTGGGGGGGCCTAATTTTTGTTTGGGTTGAGGCAAACACTATCCATCGTCCGGGGCACTGGCAGATTAAAACAAGCAAAGACTCAGAATATTGATAGCATTGTGTATGGACCTGAGTGGCGTTGATACTCAGGGGTTAATCACCGATCATTGCCAATGATCGTGCTTTGTCCATGTGGGCAACGGACTCAAAAAATTGGGCCGGAGAAGGAGTGGCTTGTACCAGGACTACCCTACCAGCATTCACTAAAGTTCAATATTCCCCCACTTTGCCCAAAGACCCAGCTTAAATCCGTGGATCATATCACATCTTCTTTTCCAATAGGCCATTCTCTTTCACCGCTTAGGAGCCACACTAGGAGAGGGGGCGAAAAAGCTGGAAGCCGAAAGCAGCCAGCCTGATGCCAAGAATAGGTCTCCGCGGGTCAGGGGATCAATTTCCCAACCGGGAAGTGAGGATATCAACCCTCACCCTCCATATCTTGGTCTTTTCCCTCAACAAACAAAAAGATAGCTGGGGGAAAAAAGAAAGAATCAATAATCGGTCACTGTTGATTCATCAGACTCCAGATCTGAATGGTGTCTCCGACCCATCATGCAAAGATTACCTTGTTGATCGAGCGATCGCGTTGCAAGGGATGACCCTGCGGATCCTCTACTCCACCGACTTATGTGCCAAGAGAGGCCCAGTCGACTGCCTATTGTCCGGGCTCGGTTGGTACCTACCGGCAAAACCCTACCAGCAATTGCGGGGTTACCTTGTTGGGCGCATGATGCCATCCCTGCAAGGGTAAAGCGAAGAGTCCTGGCCGTGTGCGGGGGATGTATTCACTGAGCTATCTGATGGATCCCGTCGGAATAATGTGCCAGTAATCAATTGGCTATTCCAGGACTTGGGCTCCAGCGAGGCTTCTGTCAGGATGGAGTATAAATACCACGGGCAATTTTGCCCGTCCACCGCGTCTCACGGGTTTGCCCCTGCAGTGGATAGGAGCCGATAGCCTCTAAGCAGCGGTAAACATGTATTCGACAGGCTTATCCCTTGTGCTTCTATTGGCAACTCAAGCCTTGGTTGCGAGCGGTTCAGCACTCCATCACAACAAGGCTCGCCAGGCGACTCCGTACGCCGTCAAAGAACCCCCATTGACCACTCCATGGACGGACAAAGCTGGCACCGACCCTTGGCCAGAGTATCCCCGTCCGCAGCTCGAGCGGTCTGAGTGGAAGAACCTGAACGGAATTTGGCAGTATCAGGACGCACTAAGTCTTGCTGCTCTCGACAGTCCTCCATTTGGACAACCTCTCGCACACGAGGTTCTGGTGCCTTCCTGTCTCGAAAGTGGTCTATCTGGTAAGTCATCGCAGTCAGATCGACCCAGAGTACATACTCATTAACACATCTCCAGGAATCCAAGGCAAAGATACCTTATATTCGTGGTTTACCACGCAGTTCACTATTCCTCAGTCCTTCAAAGACCAGAACGTTCTAGTGAACTTTGGCGCCGTAGACTATGAGGCAACCGTCTTCGTTAACGGCAAGAATGCTGGGTTCCACCGTGGAGGCTACTTCCATTTCGCATTTGATATCACAGAGTTTGTGAATCGTGATGGCGAAAACGAACTGTATGTGCAGCACCTGCCGCGAGTTGAAATAGCAACTGATGTATGATAGCCTCGTCTTTGTGCATGATCCCACAGACAGCGGCGACGAGGTTATTCCTATCGGCAAGCAGAGACTAGTCCCAGCACATATCTTTTATACGCCCTGCAGTGGCATTTGGCAGAGTGTCTGGATCGAAGCTGCCCCCGTGAACTATATCACACGCTTGGATCTTGACGCCGACATGAACGGTAAAGGTAAGGAGCGTCTTTCGATATGTATGTTTAAAATACTAATCTACTGAGTTAGTTACTGTCGCTGTGAATACCGCGACGGAGAGCGGGTCACCGGTGGAGGTTAAGGTCTATGATGGTGATGAGGAGGTTGGATCTGGCGAGGGAACGTCAGATGAGACCTTCAACTTCCTCGTTGATGGTGTAGAGCTATGGTCACCGGACTCTCCGAAATTGTACAACGTGACGGTCACGATGGGTGACGAGGAAGTCCACAGCTATGTCGGTTTCCGCACGATTTCCAAAGGCAAGGTCGACGGCGTACTCCGTCCGTTGTTGAACGGTGAATTCATCTTCATGTTCGGAACCCTCGACCAAGGCTACTGGCCTGATGGACTTTATACCCCACCCACCCGAGAGGCCATGGTATATGACCTCAAGTTCCTGAAGGACCTTGGCTTTAACATGGTTCGGAAACATGTGAGCGAGACGGCGCGAGCAGCACATGGGAGGTATACTGACATTCTAATTAGATTAAAGTCGAACCAGCACTCTTCTATCGGGCGTGCGATGAACTAGGACTGCTAGTCATCCAGGATATGCCGTCTCCGCGTCCCCTGTCAAGAAACGATGCTTGTGCTACCAGCGACATCGTACCCAATGAGTCGCAACACGATGAGTTCTCTAGACAGTTGGAGGTCCTCGTGAACCAGTTCAAGAGCTACCCTAGTATTATTGCCTGGGTAAGTAGCTCAGTCGAGTTTGTGTCTCTTCTAGTCTAACCCTTCTTTGCAGGTCATCTATAATGAGGGTTGGGGTCAGATCACATCGTACTACCCTGAGTTCGAGTTGACAGACCGAGTGAAGGAGTTAGATCCAAGCAGACTGGTCGATTCGACATCAGGTTGGGTAGACCATGGTGCAGGTGATTTCAGTGTAAGTGAAGACGACCATACAAGATCGCGAAATGATAGCTGACGGTGGACAGGATAATCATCACTATGCCAATCCCCAATGTGGAACCCCCTTCTACTCCCTGTCATCCAGCCCCCATGATCCCAGCCGTATTGGTTTCCAGGGAGAATTCGGAGGCATCGGTCACAACGTCTCCATCGAAAAGTGAGTTCACAAGGTCCACGTCTAGTCGATAGCACCTGCTAACTGTTTTAGTCTCTGGAATGTCCAAGAAGCCATCAACCATATCAATGAGACGTATGAGATCGATGAAACCCTCGAGGCATGGAACTACCGCGGCCACATCCTGTTAACGGAGTTTGAGGACCAGATTCGCAGGTTCGAATGCAGCGGTGGTGTCTGGACACAGACCACCGACGTTGAAGGCGAGGTGAATGGTTTGATGACGTACGATCGCCGTGTGAAGCGTGTAGACGAGGAGCAATGGAAAGCCGATATTCAGGCACTTTATGATGCGGCAGCTAAACGGGGTGCTCCGTCCAAGAGGGGGCTGTAGGGAGCGCGTGTTGATGACCACTTTGTTTGTTTCATTGTCAGGTTTGAATAACCCCTTCTTTACCTTGCCTATCTTTCAGATGAGTTACATATTTGTGCCCTTGGGCTTATTTCAAATGTACATGGTTCTAATACTTTCACCTGTGCGTGAGATGGATAGCTTGCATTAATACCCTGGAAGGTAGTGAATACTGTCTCAGATTAGGCAATATAGTATTTCCTATACATTGAAAGAACCCAACCGGGTCTAAGGACAAGGCTACGATACATAAATAAGAACGATGCAGATCGGAAATACGTCTGACGCGGCTTCCACGCAATCTAGCGATGATCAGTACAGCGTATCATCGAGCTGGTTTCCACTCATGGATCGACGATGCATGGAAGCTCGACGCTAGCTGCGAGGATTCAGGAGTAAATCATGTCCCAAGGTGCAATGAGCCATGTTATTCCTGGTTCTTGTGAGCTTTAGGCTTGACTATTACTCAGGCATTATATACTAGTTTACAAGACCTTGTCCGACCGAGGTGTAAAACAAGATTGGCCATTGTGTAGTTGGCCACTTAACTTATCAAGGGATTAATTACTGTTATTACTTGACTCAAAGCAAGCACCTTAGTCTGAGCTGACACTATAAATGACTGTTAATGAATGTGGTTAAAGTAGTAAGTAAGCTATTAACTATAAACTCAGAAATGTGCATTCAGATTATCAAATTCTTCATCTTGTATCCTCGCACTTTCTAGCAGCATTGTTCTGAAGGTCTGCTTCTCAACGGTTCACAACCTACGATGCAGTCTTCTGCTCCGGTTGAGTCACTTCGACCTCCCGAGCCGCCGGTTCTTGCTGCGCCTTCGACTCAAGACCCTCAACATTACCTCTCTCCAATTGCTGAATCCGCCCCGTAGTTACCCGTGTCTTCCATGCCGGTGTGCCAATATATTTGATGCCGTTGGGATCCTCGAACATAGCCTCAGTCTCCTCCAGCGTCTTACCGGCCGTCTCAGGGAAGAAGAAGTACACATGTATGAGCATAGCGGTGTTGAACACTCCGAAGATGATATACGTCTGCCAGCGAATGTTGGCAAACGCAGGGGGAGTGAACAGACCCAACGCGGTATTAAAAGCCCAGTTTCCGGACGTTGACAAGGCAACACCTTTACCTCTGAGACGCATGGGGTACAGCTCTGGTGGGTAGGTCCAGCTGACAGGACCCCAGGTTGGGGCATAAGATGCCA